AGGTATAAGGACTGAGGAAGATGGATTTTAAGGTTGAAAAGAAGCCCGGCGAGCCATACTCGGTCAAAAGCTTGATCTATGTCCAGAAATGCACCCGAGCAATATTGCCTTCTTTCCAGTGCTGCGGAAATATGAGTGACCACTCGAAGTACTTGTTGGACTGTGGAGTGTTGGGAACGGAATACAAACTGGTGTGAAGGAAGATTTTGAGATTCTATAAAGGGTAGGATTCTTTTCAGGAAGATCTTTTCAAGGATTTTTGAAAGGATTGGAAGTAGGCTAATGGGTCTGTAGGAAATTAAGCTGTTGGGAGGTTTGCCTGATTTTGGGAATAGGATAATAGTATAATGTTTCCTTAAAAGAGGAAAGTGGGTGGTTCGTAGGATGTTATTGTATATTTATGTAAGGAATATGACAGCTTTAGGAGGGAGTTGTCTATGGATCTGAGAGGTAAGGAGGTCGTATCCAGGTGATTTGCGGGTAGGTAGTTTCTGTAAGTGGTATTTGACCTCAGAAGGATTTACTGCTTTAGGCGGTAAGGAGAGTGAGATGGGTGAATTAAGGAATCCCTCTACTGCTGACGTGTGGGTGGGGTTGGATTCCGGATGGGAGGTGAATGTATGGGAAATGTGTTTGGCAAATTCCTCGGCTCTATCTTCGTCAGACGCTGCCCAAAAGCCATCACCTCGACGGAGAGGATGTGATATCTGATGGGGTTTTAGGATTTGTTTAGTTATCTTCCATAGGTAATTTTCATGAGAAGAGAGAGAAGTAAGGTAGGAGTTGAAGGATTGGGATCTGAAGGTGGCCAATTCTAGCTTTAATTTTTTGCAAAAATAATTATAGGATTGACGATCGGTGGGGTGTCTAGTATGTTGCCATAACAATCTGGCACGGCGTTTGGTATGGATTAGGTCTATGAGGGGTTGAGGTAACTTATTTTTCTTGGGAGTCCTTGAGGAGTGGTTTGGAGAGGAAGCAGTCCAGATTGCTTGTTGGATAGTGGTGGTAATAAAGTGTACGGCATTGTCAAGGTCATCTGTGGTTTTCAGGATTATTCTGAGGTCAATTCTGTCGGAAAGGATTTGGTGAAAGAGTTTCCAGTTAACTGGGCCTCTGATGAAGGACGGTGGAGAAGACTTAGGAATAGGAGCTAGAGATAATTGGAGTAATAATGGAATATGATCTGAGGATAGTTCGGCAAGACGGGTAAGGGAATCATTGAGGCGACCTAAGCCACTGTGGATGAAAAAATCAAGGATATCGGGATTGCGGTTAGGATCTGTGGGCCAGTAGGTAGGTTAGTTAGGAGGAAGGATACTAAAACGTTGGGAATTGAGTGTAGATAACAATGTTCTGCCACGAGAATTCGTGGTTCTAGAACCCCATTGATGATGTTTGGCGTTTGAATCTCCACCCAAGATGAAGTGATGTCCTAAGTAGTTGAGAAGAGAACTGAACTGGATATTGGATATGGATCTGTTAGGAGGGCAATATGCTGATGCTATGGTGACGGGAAAGGAGAACATTTTGATTACGATAGCGGTGGATTGTAGGAAATCTTGTATCAGTAATGGAAGCTGGTGATGAGAAAGGGAGTGGAGTAAAATAACTGCAGTACCGGAATGTGCTTTACCGTCAGGATGGTCAGTACGGTATGTTATGTATTGAGGTATATCTAAATGCTGTTTTCTGGTCAGTCGTGTTTCTGTAATTAGTGCTACGTCGATATTCTTGTCCAGTAATAAAGCTGTTAGTTCGTCAACGTGATTTCTAACACCATTCGCATTCTAAAGGAGAATGGATATGGGTTTTGAGATGTGAGTTATTAAGGATTTTTTTAAGGAGGGATAAGATGAGATACGAGATTTGTGAGGAGTGATATGAGTGGAGTAACTAAGAATTTGAAGATGGCAAATCGGTGAGGAAAGATGCCAAAAAATTGGTGAGATCTGTTGCATTTGAAGAAGGAGGGATATTATGAATTTGTTGTTGATGGTTAGGTATGTACACGCGAAATGTATTCAATGAAAAATCAGAGAGATTCCGCTAAAAAATAGGCAAATACTGAGAGACCAGTTGAGAGCACAACCTTCCAATCAGCTGATCCACTCCCTTCAATGAAAAATCAATCCACTGCCTTCGGCGGTACATATACTAAAATTGGAACGATGCAGAAAAAATATTTTAAAAACAAATTTTGAATCTATGACGTATTTGTTTAGATTGAACACAGGGAGGAGGAAGGGGTAGAGAAACAGCCTACATAACTTTGGTACATTTCTAGAACTTTTTCAGGTAGAAATGAATGATGTAAAAAATGTTTTTGATTTCTTAGTGTGTATAATCTCAAATAAAAATGAAACGTTTTTCACACAATCCGAATATATGTGAATAATATATCAAATTGAGGGGTGATTAAATCATAAAATATGTTCATAATTGGTAAATTGTTGACTGTCGTGGATAATGAAGAGAAGAATAGTTGGGGTGGTCAGTCAAAAAGAAGGCAAAAATAAATGATAATATTTATTTTTACATATACCGACGTTTCGACCTGAAGTTCAGGCCTTCATCAGGGCTAAGAAAATGACCAGATAACAAGGTATGAGAAATATAAAACATGTTGATATGCAGAATGTCTCGTAAGTAGAGGGAAATATTTAAACATGTAATAGCAGAGCTTAAGAACTATAAAAAAAATGTCAATAAAAACAAGGGTTCGATTTTCGGAAGAATAATAGGAAATTTAAGTTTTGTTTTTTTAAGTAAGCCATGGTTTTTGATCAATAAATAAAACATAATTTAATATAATTAATTAAAAATTGATTCACTGTAAACTAGAAATTTTTTACTTAAAACGAAAGTGCAGTTTGTCATTATTAAAACCACTTAAAGAAGGGGACTTTTGTGAGGATACATAAAGCTAAGTTCTCCATGAATTACTAGCGATTTTTATTTTTAACCATCCACCTATACTCCAGACAACCAACTTTTAGAAAAACTTTCTTTTTTAGTAAGCTTAAAGTCCATATTAATTAAGTTTAGCCTTTATTACGAAGTATGTTGAAATCCACCTCAAATAGTGTAAAAAAATTATGTGTTTTGATATCATGTCCCCTTAAAGAACCTATATAAAGATAAATTCATAAATACACTTTTTATTTATTATAAAATAATGATTTTTCAAATAGTAATTATTTAAAATGATTATGAAACTGTGTTTTTTATTAAGCTCTGCATTACAGAAATTGATCCTTATTTAAAAGTGATCAATTAAATATTTCCAGTTCTTATAATTTACGATTTGATGAAAATAATTCAAGCAATCAGGAACCTTCTTTATTTTACACGTAGATATTAGGATTGGAAACGTTTAATTGGTCACTTGTAAATATATTTATATTTCTCTAGTTGGATGGTGATAAATAAAAATCACGAAGTATTCATTATTTTTTATATATCACCAAATAGCTTAGTTATTCGCTGAAAAGTCCTCTTTAAGTAATTTTAAAGTGCTTTAACAATAACAAACTCTACTTTCGTTTGAAGAAAATTTTGTCTAGTTTATAGTGAAGCAATTGTTAATTAATCATATTAATTAATGTTTTAGTTATCGCTTCCTATTCGTCAAAAACCAGGACTTACTTAAAAAACCCGAAACTTAAATTGCCTACTATTTTGCCGATCGGCCTATTGTATACGTGAACTTTATGATAGGTCTAGAGGTCTACTATTACCTGTTTAAATATTTCCCTCTATTTACGGTAAATTATGTATATTATTATCTTTGGATATAAATGAAAATTTAAATAAAAGCAATTTCCCCATGATCTGCGCCTATGGACTTATCGGACCTTAAAACTTGTACTTCCGTTAAACACTAAAATTAATAAATTTTCACGATCGCATTACTTTCTCTTACTGAATGTATGTTGCTCGCGGGAGCTCAGATAGCCTGGAGGGGGTCACCCAACCTCACGTTGCTACGAACCATGGCCATCATGGTGCATCAGCAGGCCACCCATAGCTGATCGCTTTGGGGCAAATCTGGCTCGGGTTCAAGCACAGTGACAAATCTGTCTAGATCCATGGATTATGACTGCTCGGAGTCAGCAGGCGCACGAGGACCTATATTTCTTTCCCCGAAACAGACTGTCCATGGACCGAACCTCAGGGGGCTACTAATATCCTGGTAGACCACATCTCGATTCCCGAATTAAGTACACGGGGTAGAGTCATCAGTCCTACGGCCGGGCGGTGTGAGTTGCCTCCAGTAGCAGTGGCACTTTATATAATGGACTAACCACATTTTTACGATTTTCTCGAAAACGGCCCTAACAACGATTTTGATTAAATTCATCTTATCAGTGTAAAATTAAGCAGTTTTAAATAAAATGTAGTTTTTATTCTGATTGATTTTCTGTAACAGGTCTTAAATGGCTAATTTTCAATATTAGCTTCCCCTAAAGTACTTTTAATTTTTTTATTTGACAAAATTGACGCTTTCACATTAATCTTTAATATAAAAGATAGTTAAATATAAAAGAATTTGATAATTAACTAAAGGAAAAATAAGAAATTGTAACAAAGAATAGTTGTAATTGAGGAACCAAAAGAATACAAACGCACCCGAGAGATTAGAACACACTTCCATACGTAAAATGAGCTTAATATAATACAGACTCCAACAATATTATATAATTATACATATGTGGTTTTCATAAAAGCTATTGTTGGAATTATTTAATACTTAATGGTATAGAATAAATCGATATAAATAATAAAATTTGTATATATAAGGGTTTTTTTTTTTTTTAAATCGCATTTGCTTTTATGTTGATTGATTCTATTCTTTAAGTTCTGTTTTGTTTGTTCTATGTAACATGTGCTATTTTTATTTCCACTATTACTGTTTCTATAGTCCTTACAATGTATTTTGTACATGATGTCTATTTTATGGTTTTTATTTATTTTGTCCTTGTTATTAGTGTAAATGTTTAGAATTTTATTTTTTGATTTTCTACTGGGCGTAAAGGAGCGGAGGGAGGTAGCCAATTCTTCAAGATCGACCTGAAGACAGATTGATCCTCCTTCTGCACCAGGGGAGTAGCTGAGGCCTGCTGACCATACTGGGGATGTCTTGAGGACACTATAAGCCCATGACTGTCCGTGAGTGGTGTAGAACCACACCCTGCCCGAGGTGAACCTGCATTAACAAAAAGCAACGGATCTAGACTGGGAAGTTGATAAAAATCCCTGGTGTGAGGCAGCAATAGCACCACTACTGGCATGGATCAAAAGAAAGTTGGAGTCGGATGGGTCTATGACTGGACATTATCAGGCGGAGCTGGAGACCAGCAGAAAGGCTGATGTACTGCGAGGGGCAGATAGGGCTCCTTAGCCGTACTGAAGGCAATCTATCTAAGGACCCTGGTACCTGATTCAAGCTAGGAATCAGTTGTTCTGAGGTAATGGAACCTCTCGGTTTGGACTAATCACCTGCATGGGAGTACAGATGATTTAGAATAACACAGTGAATAGCCTCGGAACTAGACGGATTAGATGGAAACGAACCGGCATGGATAAGGATATACAACTAGGCACCTGGAACGTGAGATCACTCATCAGCAAAGAAGTTGAAATTATCAAAGAAGAGATGATGACGTACAGGCTGGACATTCTTGGGTTAAGTGAGGTGAAAAAGAAAGACTCTGGTGAGGTTAAGCTGGATAGAGGACATACCCTAGTATATTCAGGATCCTCCCAAGACATAGAGCGGTAGAAGGCGTTGGTATAATAATGAAAGAAGACCTATTCAAGAAGGTGATAGAATGTAAGAATATAAGCACTCATATAATCACGGCAAATATAAATCTGCAGATTGGAAAATGGGCTCTAATCCAAGTCTATGCCCCCACAAATAATTCTGATGTCCTGGAGAAGGAACATTTCTATAGCGACCTGGAGTGAGCAGTGGTTAAAGGAAGGAACAGCAACAGAAGCATCTTAATAATGGGAGATCTCAATGCGAGAACAGGCAGTGACTACTTGAAGGCATATGGAGTGATGGGCCTTATTAATTTTACTTTTTAACCATATCTCAATATAATCTAATATTTAAATTTAATTTTATTACATATTTACAACCAAATATAAATATAATTATTCATATTTTTTCCCCTTCTCTATATTTCTAAGTTAGTTCTGCAATGTATGGTCTCTTATTTCTATAGTTATTTTTTACTTCTTCCATTTTTGTTTTTATCCACATTGTACTCCTATCTATAATCTCTTAATTCTATTTTATATTTATGTATTTATAATTTAATATTTCATAGATATAGTATTTTTTCCCCTTGTATCCATCCATATCTTCAAATTTTAGATACTGTGATTTTCGAGGTTTTTTCCCATTACCCAAACAAGTCAGCGAATTCCCCAATACCTACCCTTACCCTAAATTTCCAGTTCTAAGCGAAACTCCTAGCTGAACACACCTGTAAGTCTCTATTTTTATGCTTCTAATGTTACTCACTTATTTATTTATTTTATTCTTTTTTTTCTTTCTCTACATTCCTTTATGTCTATTATTTCATAGTATATCCTTTTTCCTTTTCTTTCAATCACTCCTATAGATTTGTAGAAGTATATTCACATTTTCATATATGATATATAACACTACAACAATTGTTACCATCTATTTACTTCAGTTTAGGATCTTTTTACTTAGCTTACTCTGTTTATATTTTAATGTACTTACTGTTCATAATTTTAATAAGCTTATTCACATTGTTTATTTTTTTTTGTCATAATATTATGTAACTTCCACAATTCTCTATCTTTCTGTATCTTGTCCGTTCAAGCCCTGAAGACGTGCAAAGTAGGGTCGAAATGTTGGCTTTTAATAAAACAGTTTTGCCACTATTTAGCCTATTTATGACCGTCACCCCGGACCATCTCCTTCCCTTTTATTGGTTATTTTATTAGTGGGACTATTGACTAGTGTTAAGAAGTAAAATTTTTTGTTTTGTTAGTTGGGATTCTCTATTATTCATTTCACTATTTTCAACACTTTTGCTGGATGATGCTTCAGTATGGTTTACTAGTTTGAAAAAATGGGCAATCAATACATTTTTACAATTATTAGATTTTTGTTCCTCTTAGTTATGTTTGTTTTCCAAACATGCATCTTTGTTAGCTAAAACGTAGCCAAGGCAAAATGGAAATAAATGTGGAGAAGTAAAAACACAGCCTTACTTTATATTATTATGAATTATTTCACCTAAAACAAGCACAAATAAATTTAACTTTTTTAGGGGAGGGAGATGATGTCATTGCCCAGAGGCGGCAAATGTCTAAGGCCGCTAATGGTCCAGTAGGGAACAAAATACTGAACTTATCTCAAAAAGCCTTAAGAGTGTTGACATGAACTAGTTAAGATAGCAAACCAAATTGGGAGTTATTTAGTGTTAGGAAAATAATAAGATAATAAATAAAAAATCAAAACAAAAGGACTTAGTTGTATTATTAAAATAGTAGTGGAGGATTTATAGAACAAGGGAAATTGGTTTGCACATAGCATAAAGTTGTGAGTGTAGGTGAGAAATACAATTGTTTTTATGGTGTGTGAAAGTGAGATCATTTGAAAATAGGCTTAAACACAGAAGTTGGTTTAATTTTCCCCGTTAAACTTTCACTTGAATTCTAGCAAATAATATAAAATCTTTATTTCTTCGATATATAGAATATTGACATGGTTTAATGAGTAAGTTCACAAATGATAGTAAACATATAATAACAATGAGCTCCAAAGCAAGGAATTGCTATGGTGAATGCATAGGAACTATTATGGTGAGGCCATTCTTAGTAGTGTATTACTTTATTTTAAATCATAATGATGTAATAACCTACTTAAGAGTTATAGTAAATTCAGATAATCAGAAATCAATATTTATAGTTCTGCCTTAACATAAATTTAGTTATAAATTAGTTTATTAATTAAGCTATTCATGAACAAATTGAAAAAATATAATCTTACAGACATACAGAAAAAAAAGTAATATTACACCTTAGATTCATAAAGGCTTCGGTAAAGGTTATAAATTTAAAGTTTGCATATGAGGAAATATTGAAGGAAGGTAGAAATGCAAATCATATAAATTATATTGAGGTACATAGATATTTTATGTTTTCGTTTTAGTGCTATTTAACAGGTTAATATTCACAATAAAAAAAAAAGGCAGCTTAGAGAGTAAATTTAATTTACAATGTAGAAAATGCCACTAAAATATTTACAACCAAATTTATTCTTCATTTATTTAAAAAGAGACATAACAAAAGTTTTATGAAAAATAAATAAATATTCATGTATAGGTTAACTTTCATCACTATTTTCATTATCTGATTCATATTCTACGTTAAAATGTTCAGGATCAGTCACTTTTTTGATAGGCACCAATAGATTTTCATCATCAATGATCCGTTCATACCAATATTGGTAAATATATTTGCATTGAGGATTGTCTCTAAATACCTTAACCCTTTTGTCCTCTTTCAGTTCTTCACAAAGGAGTAAGTCATCAATTGTAGGAACTTTGAAGGTCTGCACATCATCTTCTAAAAATAAATAAAATGTAAGATAAAAAAAGTATACAAAATTTCAAAGTAAAAATATACGTATAGTAAAATAACTAAATGATTTTTTTCATGAATTAATGTAATCTACTTTCTGTCTAATTATTTTGACTTATTTTTTAAATTAATCCATGAACTTCTTAACTGAGAAGAGACAAATATACTTCCGAATCGGAGTAGAAGTTTGGCCATGATAAAATAGAAATTTATATATATAAACATTTTTTTTAATATTCCGATAATTATTGGTTGCCTACTACTTTCACTAGTGTCTAGGGAGCAAAATATTTTTGAGGAGGAGCTATCATTAACTAGTTTATTCAACTGTTCTCACACAGACGTGAATTTGCTAACTTACGGCAATTGAATTTGATAGAAATGGAATGGATTTTTTTTCAAACTGAAGGAATAGATTTACACTATTATTTTTCTCACCAATATGATTATTTCTCATAGTTTGTAATGAATATTAATCAACAAGTAGGCCTTAAAAATTGTTTAACTTTTTCTAAGTTCCACTTCTTTAATAAATAAATATCTTATTAATGACAATCAGAAACTGTAAGAAAAAAAAAAAAAAAAAAAAAAAAAGACCTGTACCATTACAACCCATGAAGTGTCTGGGGTTCAGTACTATTTAGGGAAAGCACTGTTTCTAGGTCAACGGTTGTGCAAGGAGATGATTTGACCGAGATCACGCTCAACCGCCAGGTTTTCCCCCTTAATTAATTATTTAATTAAGGGTACCCACTTTATAGAGGCTGGGTGTGCCCCAAGAGGTTCTACCGACCCAGGGTCACCCCACGGCCAATGAAACAGATAAATAAATTTTCTGCCATGAGCCGGGGTTCGAACCTGAGACCTTTGCATTGGAAGCTTGGTGCCCTACCACTGAGCTATCCCACTCCATTATAATATAATTTATAAACATATAAATAGAGCCTCATATGAAAAAAATCGGAAAAACTCAAATAAGTCAAAACGCAAGGGCGTAATCTCAAAATGGACATTATTTTCAAAAACTACAGCTCCGAAAAGATCTAAATACTCTCATATGAATAAAATCGGAAAAACTCAAATAAGTTAAAACACAGTATTGTAATCTAAAAATGGACATCATTTTCAAAAACTACGGCTCCAAAAACATATCAATAGAGCATATGGAAACATATGGAAGAAATCCGGAAAACTTAAATAAGTCAAAACACGGTGGCATAATTCCAAAATGGAGATTATTTTTGAAAAATCAAGTATTTAAAAACATAATATAAAACTGTACATGAAAATTTTAAATAGAGGTATTCTTATACCGGGATCGTAATGTCGATATTATTTAAAAAAGAAATCCAATATTTATTATTGGTAATTGGTTATTGGTTAAACAATTAAAAGTATTTATTTAAGAATATTTATGTAATTAGAACAATGGCACATCTATTAATATAATTTATATATTTAACTAAAGGCACATAGTACTTAAACTACAATTTATAATAGGCCGTGAGCAAAGTACACAAAGTGGCGCAGGTCAGCGATTTGAGTAAAATACTCAAAGTGGAACAGCTCACATTTGAGTAAAATACTAAGATTCGGGCAAGTTGAATATCTGAGTACCGTAATCAGAATCGGGAGTTCAACAGTTGAGTAAAATACTCGGGACTCAGTACTCACTTTGGCATTTGCCCATCTCTGGTTTATTGCAAAATGTCAATTATATAACATTTCATAACCTTACATCACAGCGAACTTTTAAAATTTTCCCTTTGTAAACTTAAAAAAATTGCAGTTATAACTTACTACATTTGATATATAAAAGGGTTTGTGTCATTTTAGTCAAAATAATGTTTTTTTTTCAATAAATAAGGTCGAAATTCAAAAACAAGTTCTTAAAAGTTCAGCTCCATCCATGTTCTTAAGTTAAGTACTTTTTGGAATAAATGGACGACATGTACGTTCAAACCTCTCTTTATAAAGAGAGCTCAGTTAAGTGGTTGAAATAGACAGAAAGAGTTTTGATGTTTGTATTACCTCGAGTCGATATTTGTGTTCTTTTGATAGTCTTACTGAGTTTTGTATAGTTAAATCTGACCAAAACCATAAATGTGTTCTTATTCGTCTCGACTGCCAAGCGGCCGGGTTTGTTTAGAATTTTGCCTATGTTATGAAGTATCTAAAATGGTCTTTTAAAAAAATATTAGAGTTGGATAGATGCAAAGATACAAACGTAAATAATCATTATATTTTTTACAAAGCTGTAGGAAGATGGGGACCGATACCGTACCAGAATGATAAAAAACTTTTCGTAATAGCCAATTTTTTACGACAATAATTCCTCTTGATAGTTTAACGTGAAAGTGAAAGTTGTGTGATGACTGCACCAGATTTTTATTACTTTATTAGTGATTAGGTTTAGAGGAATAATTTTGATGATCCTGAGGCTGAAGTAGGACCTGGAAACGTAGATCACATCCGCAGTAATAAAAACAAATGGAAGATAAAGTTCATAATATGATAAACTTTATGTATATTTTGATAATTTTTTTTTTGCGGTAAAATTTTGAATCTTTTATGGTTAAAACAAGAAAAATAGAAGAGACAAGAAAAAATTAGAGCAATAGTTAAAAAAAATTAAACAATGGATAAAAAAAAGAAAAAGAAAGAAAACAGTTAAAAGTAAAATTAAAGCAGAGAACACGATAAGAGCGCAAGAGGTTAGAGAAAACTGAGGAGGGAGAGGGGAGGGCAAGCGTTGACGGTATAAGCCAACTGCTCCTTCTAAAAAATATTTTGCTCCCTAGACGACCCCATTGTCAAGTCATCTGACCGCAATCAGCCACTGGCCCTCTAAGTTGGGAGAAACCCAGTGCCGGGAGGTATAGCCCATCCACCCTTCCTCCTGAGAGAACATAAATATTCAGGAGGACAGTTGTCCCGAGGATACGGGGCCTCTTCTACTCGGCCAATCACCAGTAGTAGAGCTCAGACAGTCTAAACCGTTACGACGTGGCACTCAAAAGGATATTAGACTTGGAACATGGAATATCAAGGCTTTGAACTGGTGGAGGAGATGGAGACATTCAGAGTAGACTTCCTAAGAATTTGTGAAATGAGAAAAAAAGGGCACGGTGAAGAACATCTAAACAAGGACCACGTGCTTATCTACTCAGGAGTACCAGCTGGGCTCAGAGTCCAGGAAGGTGTTGCCATCATCATGAAAGTATGCTTATTCTCTAAACTAGAAGATTGGTAGCCCATATCTTCAAGAATTACAACAGTGTATATGGATTTGTCAATAGTAAAGATTGTACTAATACAAGTTTATGGCCCAACAGAGAACAGTTCTATGCTGACCTAGAGAGAGAGGTCATCAGAAGTCAGAACTGTAACAGAGGGATTATCCTAATGGGTGATTTCAATACAAGTACAGAGACCATTCAAATGCCCATAACATAATGGGCCTGCATGGAGGAGAAAGCACCAAAAATGGAAATGGTCAAAGGCTCATCGACTTCTGTAACGATTACGACCTCCTCATTGGAAACTCTTTCTTCCCACATACGATGGTGCACAAAATAACCTTTTCAGCTGAAGAAAGAAGTGTTAATAGTGATATAGATTACATTGTGTACAATAGAAGTATAAGAAGATATTTTACCGATGTAAAATTAATAAGAGGTGCTGAAATTGGTTCGGACCATCTTCTGTTGATAGGAGACACCCAGATCCTACGACCTAGAAAGAAACGGCCAAAAACATAAAAGAAGATTGACATTGCAAAGCTGCAGAATCCGGATAAGAAAAGTGAGACTGCAGAACTTCTGGATCAGATACTCAGGTATGTCAATGCTGAAGGAAATGTAAACAGTACATAGGCTGCAGCATTGAAGAATGTAATATTTGAGACTGCTGAAAATGTATGCGGAACGAGGGTAGTCTACACCAAAGATAAAAAGTCTGAGTGGTGGAGTGATAGGAAGAAGACAGCGTGGAAGGAGTATTGTCAACTCAAGACTGCAGCCAACTGGGAGCTCTACGTTAGAAGAAAAGAAGCAAATATGGTTGGTTTGTGTGGTGAAGAAGAAGAGTTGGGAGAAATACGGTAGAAGTCTACAGAATGATTAAAAGGAAAATACCAAGATTTTCTGGAAAATAATTAAATCAATGAAAGGAAAGGCGAGCAAACCCATTAGAAATGTTTTTTTTTTTTTTTTTATTTCTTTATGACATTTACAACTGTATTACATAAATACATCAAGTAAATTTGGACATAATTGATATAATGACATGAATACACTTGCTGAGTAACTACCCAATGGTAGCGCTCTAATGATATGACTACATTAGGAGATCACGGGCCATTAGAAATGTTAAGGATGAATTAAGGCAAATAATTACTGAAGATAAGGAAATATTGGAGAGATGGCGCCGCCATTATTCTGCATTGTTCTTTGGCGGTTCGGAAGAGAGAGTGGAGGACAGGCAAGAAATACTAACAGAAGTATATGATGATGTGGTCTGGGAGAAGGATGTCATGTGGGCTATAGAGAAAATGAAGATAGGCAAAGATGGTATTAGTCCAGAACTTATAAAATTTGGAGGGTCATAATTACAGAAAACATTAGAGGGCCTGTTTCAGAATATAGTTTCTTCTAAATTTATGCCTGAGGAATGGGGGTGCAACGTCATCATATCGATCCACAAGAAAGGAAGCTCAAGTGAATGCCAAAACTATAGGCGTATATTAATTTTACTCCTCCATATTGGAAAGAAAACTCAGACTAAATGTTAAAGGTAAATTACAAGAGGAGCAAGCAGCTTTTAGACCTCAGCGTCAAACACAGGACCACATCTTCTCACTCAGGACAATTATTGAGAAGTCATGGGATAGAGGAAAGAGTCTGTACTTGGCATTCCTAGACATAAGGGCAACATTCGATTTCGTCCCCAGAGAGGAAATATGGGCAGGTTTAGCCACTAAAAATGTTCCCACAGAATTAATTAGTGCCATAAAATCTACCTACCATGACTCCAAAGGAGTAGTTAGAATTAATGGTTTTCGCAGATGATATAGTCCTCATTGCCGATTCCATAGAAAATCTGTAGCAGGCAGTGGTACTTGTCCATTAGATGGGCGGGACGAAACGTCCCTTGTTATCTAACGTTACGTGAAATAACATCCCTCTTCTTATCTCGTCAAACCTTTCAGTTATTACATTATTTATTTTTCAGTTATTACATTCAGATATTCACTTATTAAATTCTTTATTTTTGGCCCGTTTGTGTTATTTTCGTCAAATTATGGATCTTGTTACATTCTGGGAATTACCGTCTTCAGAAGAACAGGCTATGGAATATTTTCAAAATGTTGGCATAATTGCAAAGGTGAAATTGTGTGAAGAAGGTCATCAAATGAGTGTTATTAGTTTTATTATTTCATTTTCATCTTTTATATGTACATAAGTTGTTTAAGTGTTTTTTTATTATTTCATTTCTTTTATTACTACATTCATTTTTATTCATTTCATGCCTTATATATATGTAAAATTAAGATGTTTTCTGATTGTTGTGAGAATTATTTTCTACTAAATATATAAACATTGTGATAAACATTTTCTACATATATATATATATATATATATATATATATTAATTTAATATATAAATGAAATGAAAATGAAAATGAAAAGAAAAAATATTTTATTCTGGGACTACTGTCCCCTAAGAATAATAACAGAGTTACAAATTTATGTATATTAGTCTGACATAGTAGGTGTTGGAACAGGAGTTGTTTGAAGGAATTTGTGGATGAGGATTGACGCATGGAGGTAGGAAGTGAGTTCCATAAGGAAGCAGCACGAATGACGAAGGATTTGCTGAAGGAGGAAGTTTTATGGGAGGGAATATATAAGTCTATAGGTTGAGACCTAGTATTGAGAGAGTGGATAGAGGAGCGCAGAGTAAGGAGTTCCAGTATGTAGGGAGGGTTTTTGGTTCTAAAGACTTGGAAAAGGAAAACGCCAAGAAGGAATTGTCGGGAAGTAGGAAAAAGCCACTTTAACTCGGTGTACCATAGTGAAACATGTGAACGCCTGGGGATCCCGAAAATGTATCTTATGAAACAATTCATGAGTCTTTTTAGTCTCATTTCCAGCCTGGCAGATAGCCCTCCATACACCAAGCAGCCGTAGTCGAAGTGGGGGAATACAAGGGAGGTTACAAGGAGCTGTCTGGTTTTTAGAGGAATAAAATCACGGAATCTTAGGAGTTGTTTAAGGGCAGTTATGGATTTTCGGGTAATCTGGGAGATATGATTATCCCAGGAGAGGTTCTGGTCAAAGATTACTCCTAGGTTTTTGACTGTAGGGAAAAAATGGATGGGATGGTTATTGAGGTAAAGTAAGGAAGGGAGCTGATGAGATGTCTGGACCCAATGATAATAGCCTTGGTTTTATCTGCATTCAGCTTTAATTCATTTATTTCTGCGCATCTGTTGATGCAGTCGATGTCCTCTTGTAGCCTCCGGGCAGCCTCACGCATCTCAGAAGGTTGGAATGATTGGTATATTTGGAAATCATCGGCATACAGGTGGTAATTGGAGTGTTGAATGGCGTTAGGAAGGTCATTAATATAGATGGAGAAAAGGGTCGGGGAGAGTGAGGAACCCTGAGGAACACCTCGCGTTAATTGCAGTGATGATGATGGAGGTTTATTCGGTATTGTAACTGTCTGAGATCGATTGGATAAGAAAGATAGGAACCATTTTAGGACGCTATTTGACATGGGCAGGCTTTGGAGTTTGGAAAGAAGGATCTCATGATTAACGGAATCAAACGCCTTGGAAAAGTCAAAGAGAATTAGGATGGAGATTTTCTGTTTATCTATGGCGGATTGGAGGTCTTGGGTAATCCTTAGCAAGGCAGACTGGGTGGAATACTGGGAACAGAAACCATATTGTAAGGGATTGAGGAGATGGTTTTGCTCGAGAAAGCTGTTCGAGAAAGATTATTATTATTATTATTATTACTGCTCGAGAAAGATTATTTCAACTGAGAGTGAACTAATCTTTCTAGAGGCTTGGATAGAATGGAGATGGGTCTGAAGTCGGAAGCTGATGAAGGAGTTGGAACTTTGTTCAGTGGACGGACTATGGCTCTTTTCCAGGATTTGGGAAAAATGGAATTTTGGAGAGAGAAATTATATATGTGTAGGAGTGCGGGTAGTAAAGCTGGAAGGCAGAGTTTGATAACTTTGACAGGTATTTGGTCAGGACCATAATCGTTTGTTTTGGATTTAAGGGTGGCAGAGAGCAGGTCAGTAGGAGAGATGTCGAGAAAGTAAAACTTATTAGGATCAAAGGGGGTTTTGATAATGGAAAAAGATGAGCGGTCAGATGGAAATGTGGATAGAAAATGATTAGTGAAAAAAGAATTTAGCGTGTTGGGATCGATTGGATACTGTGTGCAGGTTTTCGAGGTAACAACAGAGAGGTTCTTAAGGATTTTCCATTTGAATTTAGGGTTAGGTTCTTGGGATAAAACGTTATTGAAGTATTGGGCTTTGGCGCGACGTAGGGTCGTTTGTGTGAGATTTCGTAGGGATTTAAATGTGGAATAATGCTGAGTTAGTCTAGTACGTCTGTATCATCTTCTAGCAGTTTCTCTTCTCCTCATTAGTTCTCTTATTTCTGTATTGATCCAAGGAGCGGGAGGACGTCTAAAGACACGTGTTTTTAGAGGTGCGTGACGATTGAGGAAATCGAGGAGGTTGGAGGAAAGGCATTCAACCATATCATCGATGGAGGGGAGAGAATAGATGGGTTCTAAGCAAGTAGAAAGAGAATCGAGGAAGGGGCTGATGTTTTCAGTGGTTAAAAAATCTAGATCTCTCCAGGAAATTTGTTTGGGTTTAGGTGAAGGAGTAGAGAAGTTGTATGTTATTTCAATAAGATCGTGGGATGAAAGGAAGGGAACTGGAATTTGCGTAGAGGATAATAGGTTATGTGGGGAATCAATAATAAATAAATCTAGCCAAGTATCAGTGGATTGGGTGTGATGGGTGGGTTGAAAGGGTACAATAAATAGATCTAAGGAAAAAACTAAGTCAGTAAGATATGTTCTGTCCGGAGTGTTTGAAAGGAGGTTGGTGTTGAGATCACCAGCAATAATAATATTTTTGTAGAGAGGAATATATGTAAGGAGGGAGGATTGAGAGTGGGATCGAATCGGACTCGAGGAGGTCGGTAAATAATGATAAAGAGTAGAGGAAAGGTACTAAAGGAAATCTGGACAAATAGATATTCTATGTTAGGAACGTCTGAAGGAGGAGATTTTAGAAGGACTTTGGCCATCAAACTGTCATGTACGAACAATCCAACACCTCCACCTGTTCGTTCCATTCGATCATGACGGAAGAGGGTATAGTTGGGTAAGGAAACGGATAGGGAGGGAATATCAGGTTTGAGCCAAGTTTCTGAGACGGCTATGATATGATGGAAGTTATGGTGAAAATAATCGAGGAATTCGTCATAATGTGCTAGAAGGGATTGGGAGTTATATATGTCGTAAAATAAAAGTATTTTTTTATTATTACATTTGTTTTTGTTTACATTAATTTCAATAATACAAATATAATATAATAAATATGAATACGAAGATAGGAATTACGAGAAGGCTTATCAGTGTCTTATCAGAATCAGAATTATCAGTGTTCATGTTATAAACATTGGCAGATAGCAGTCCAAAAAAATAAATAAAATACTTGAGACAATTAACACAATAGCTTCACACACAAAATCCAAAAATAAATTATGAGCTAAAATTATTAAAATGCTGAAAATAATTTTTTTAAAACAAGTTAAAAAAAAAATACCAGAACTCCTTAATAATTTCATAAGTCTGAAGGTGAGAAATGCATCAGTCATTTCTACTGGGTATTCTGAATCATATCCTTCCCATGAATCAAGTCCTACAGCATTTGCCCAAATTTTCATTCTGTAATGAATCAATTACTTAATTAAAATTTATGTTTGATAAAAAAGAGAATAATAAATTCTAAAAATCAATAAATATTTTTTGTAAAAATATAATTTTAATTAATAATTCATGACATTTGTTTTATTTTCAAAAGCATAATATTGGAAATCATAAATATAATAACTCAGATTCAAATTACATAAATCTCATAATGAGTATGATCAATTTAAAAGTTGTGCATATATAACCTGGTTTTTAATAGATTAAAAATGTGTGTGTTCGTTTGTTTAGCTGTATTTTAGAGATGAAAGGTTTTGTGTTGAAAATTTTCCAATCATGTTTTCTTTTTTAATTATTGCCTTTTTATAATAGTGTTTTGTTTTTTTTCCTTTTGGCATTACAGTCCATGTAGATCTTTTGCTGCCTCAACAAGCATGCTCCATTTCTGCCTGTCTTAGGATATTTCTTTCCATTTATCTGCACGTAGCTCTATTGCATCTTTGTTGATTCTATCTATCCATCTGCTTTTTGGTCTTCCACGTGGTCTTTTGCTTTCTATTAAGGCATTTATTGTTACGCAGAGGCTTCCAGATGGATTCCTATGAGCTACATGCCCCGCCCATCTTAATCTCCATGACTTCATATCATGGGATATTGATTGACCAGTTTTTGTAAGCAGTTCATTATTGGTCTTTCTTCTCCATGTGTTAGCACTCTGATCCCAGATCACTCCGGTTATCGTTCGGAGGATTTTTCCGTATTGCATCGTGCAGAGGATGGTATTAATGTGGTTAATACCATTAAGCATAACTGTACCATTAAGTATCAATTGTTATGTACCAAATACCATTAAACTGTACCATTAAGTATCAATTGTTATGTATTAAATAAATATATTTGTAAAATTATAAAGTAAATACATGATAGGAGGAAGTCGTAGGTTATTCTTTATATTATTTTCTCCTAATACATTAAAAATTAAAAAAAAAAAAAGAATTCTAGTAAGAATGATAACCTTTCTTCATTTTTTGTATATAATGAATAATAAAGTAATACCGAAAAAGCAGTTTAGCTACTCAACAACGATTGCATACTATACACTAAATAAATGAAGCAATTTAATAAAATGTCTATGTCGCAATAACTATAATACAAAACACATTATAAAAAATTATACTATAACAATACCTTATAAGCTCTTTAGAATCAGGATCCTCTATTGAATCAATAGCTTTTAAAGCTCTCATAAAAAATAACTCTTTATTCTCATTCTCTGAATTTCCTGCCACATAAACCTTCAAAATAAATAATATGATAAAATAAAATAATAATATTATTATTAAATATTATAGTTGTGGAACCCGCAAATGCGAGAAAATCAGAAGATAATAATAATGTTCAAATGAAAATGTGAAATTAACATATACAATTTTATAATGACAATAATATAAAATCCAGTATAACCCTTGATTTATTAATTTATTTATCTTTTAATTGTGAAATGAACAAAATATTTAGTACTTAAAAATGATTAAAATAGAGAAGAAAAATATTATATAGAAAAATAATTGAATAAAGCCATAAGACTGAATTTAATACTACATTTATATGTTAATTACTTTTAGCAGTATTGGTAGAGAGAAAAACAAGCAAGTGTGCCTATTGGTTCTTTTTCTGCCTTTTTGCAAAATAAATTAGAAAATTGGCATAAAACTAGTACACGGTGGGCCATACCCCCCCTACTGTGCAACCCTCCCCCCCAAATTCCTATAAATTGCATATCGTTGTGTTCCTTGTAACCATTTATTTAAAAAAAACCTATGTTCTCACAAAAAAAAGTGAACAGACTGCCCCAAAATGGCGTCCTAACGACTTTGAATTTAGTTAGTTTTTTGGTCACTGAGAATCAGCATTTGGCTTAATTTCATCATAATTGGTCATTTATTAAAGCTTCATAGTCAGAGAATAATAAAACATGAAAAAATAGTTGGCTTAGGCAACAAAAAACACTAGTTAAGTCAATTTTTATAACAAAAAAGATTTCAATATAAAAATTAAGCATCGTTTGTAATTAAAAGACCAATAATAACAGAAAACATGCTGAAATAAAACATCTGGAGAATATATCTCTATTTCTAAAACACTGATTACTTTTTAAAATATTTGAAGCAGTTTCGTAGAAAATGCACTTAAGCTGCAGAAAATTGGTACTGGCGTAGGTGCCTACAGGCCTCTACCACACCATTCAGTACTCATAAATGGCTTAGTTATAGTGCTAATGTTATACGTACATAACGAAATAACTTTTTAGGTACATTATATTGATTGTATTAATGAACAAATATTAATGCAATAATTTAATTGTCCAAACAATTTTTTTAAATTTATTATTTTTTTAATAATAATAATAAATTAATTTTTAAATTTTTTAAAATTAATTAATATTTTTTTAAATTTATTTATTTATTTTTCCTGCCCTCCTTATGTGGGGGACCTCGAGCTTAAGGGACCAGGCGGGACCACAGGTGGCAGATGGTGGACTTGCACTCCTGGACCATGAGCCGCAGGAGCCAACAGGGCGGGGGAGGGTGGTCAGTGGTGCGGCCATCCTCAAAAATACTCCAGAGAGCTCTAAGACAGTGACTGTAACGAGGGGAATGTGTGCCACCTCTAAATATGCACAACCACTCCCCCATCACAGCCGGGGCGCCTAGGAGAAGGACAACTCCGAATAAAAATTCAGACAGATAAGGCACGTTAGCTGTGGCAGGCAACTTATCTAAGGGAAAAAGACCCCGACAGAAAACCTTTGGTCCTCCAGGTTGGGAGTTGTCATTTGGGTCAGCAGCTCATTAACGTAAAACTCTTCTCACTACAAGTAGTGACAAAGCCTCGGATTTGGATAGTCATAACGGAAACGGACTTTTCATTTTGGTACTTAGAATATTCAGAGCTTCGCCAACAAAAATCTCAGGTGCGGAAAGAAGTGGAGAGAGCAGGATTGGATCTGGTCGTACTCACAGAGACCAAATTGAAAGGAAAGGGACAAGAGACATCAGGTGAATATGTGCATATCTGGAGTGGTGTGGGAAGAGATGTGCGGGCCAAGGTAGGTGTTTCAGTTCTGATAAAGAAACACCTCAAAGAAAAGATCAGATTTTGTGAGGAAATATCGGAAAGTATTATCCCTATAGATAAGGATATTTTTGGCAGAAAGGTCACAGTCATAGATGTCTATGGTTCTGGTAATAGTGAACCCCCGCAAGTGAAGGATGAATTCAAAAAATATTTCAGGCTCATGCTGGAGAAGATGAATGGGAGCGTCAAAGTCATCATTCTTGGGGATTTCAATGCACGAGTGGGTCACCAAGTAGGAAGCAGAATTGTCGAAGGTATGGAGAGGCTCAGATTACAGACAACGGAAAGAGGCTCATCGATGTTTGCGAAGCGTTGGATTTCCAGATTCAGAATACATTCTTTCAGCACAAGCCCTGACACCAATTCACATGGAGTAAGCCTGGATTCCAGTCATCTATACTTGATTATTACATCACCAGACAAAAATCATGTTGTAAAGTGGAAGATGTGAGGGTGTTCAGGAGTTGGGAATGTGGAACTGATCACTTTATGCTCCAGGCCAAGATTCTTTTGCCGTGGACAGGGTCTAAAAGAGGGACGCTGCAAAGCAGAGATTATCACCTTACCAAAGTACAAACTATATCTCCTTATGGAGGACAGTGTTGGGAGGTTATACAGAAGCAGACTAGAGGAAAAAATAGATCTGAGCCAGAGAAGCAATCTTTCGGAAAAATATGAATACTTGAGAAAGTGCATCCACGCAGCAGCCTCGGAGGAGTTAGGGTATGATGAAAACAAAAAACAACCAGATTGGTGGTCTGAGGAGGTCTCGGATTTGGTGGAGGCCAAAAAAGAATCATATAAGAAGTACTTAGCGTCAAACAGAGACCAGGACTGGATCGCCTACAGAGCTCTGAACAAACGTGTAAAGGAGGAAGTTGTAAAGAAGAATAACTCCTGGGAGAGATGCTGCCAGAAAATAGATGGGACACTGGGCTTTAATCGAGTGAGAGAAGCTTGGAGTATTTTCAGGAGCTTGAGGGCACCACGTAAGGGCAATGCTATTTCTTCTATCAGTGAGGAAACATTGGTTTTTTTTTAATAAATGGTTACAAGGAACACAACAATATGCAATTTATAGGACTGTGAGGGGGGGGGGAGTACACGGTAGGGGGGTCTGACCCACAGACTATAGTTACTAAATACAAATTTTCATAATTCATACAGCCACAAAAAAAATTTAATTTTAAAATAAAATGTTAGTGGCTTCATCTATTTGTGACTAATATATTTTAAGTTATATAATATACTGAACTAAAGAGTACCTTCACAATTAGGACAACAAAATTTACTGGAACAGCAGTCAGCTAAATAAACTGTAGGGACCTAACCAGCTGCAGGAAACTGCAATATGCATATGCTAGTGCACTCTATAAGTTTTTTTCAGATGATATCTCTCAATTTTTCCCCATGTCTAACAATCCTATAGATTGTTGTGCATATTTTCCATTCTGGTAGGGGGGAGAGGAACAGATCCCCCCAAAAAAGTCTCTGTGGCTTATAATATGTATAAAACGTATGAGTGATAATTAAAATAATTATTGTGAAAAAAAAACAATATAATACTATTTATACAAAAAATTTACATAGTAGATATTTTTTTTTGTACATATGGATATATCAGGAACATAGGGCATGGTAAAATACTTGTGTACCTAGTTCTAGGCCTTAGCTTAGCCCTCTAAAAAAAAGGAAAAGTCGACTTTTCCTTAATTGAGTATAGTTTATATATTTTATTCATTCATTTAGATTGTTATTAACATTGATTTTGTTTTTGTTCTTCGAAATATTAGGGAGGACATTCTCACCTCCTATCGATTTTATTGAAGGGAGAGGGGCAATGTCTGCACCTATGCCTATTGCAGCATACTAAGAGTTCCTACAGGTTTTTTAAATACTAATTCTAAATAAGTGGTACAAAATTGTGTTAAATTCCTATAAAGAGTAAAAGACTCTTAGCATCTTATTTCAAGCACCATGTCTTAAAACAAAAGGTCACTTTTATTTTTCTTTAAGGAGGGAACAGCTTGACCATCATGAGGCTTTTTTTTTTCTTATAGCTCTTGCTGAATAATTTGTTTAGATCTTTATGTTTTGTTTAAAGTATTTTGCCACATTTCTCTTGATTATTTTAATTATGTAGTGAGTGGTATATATTAAGTCCATCGTGATGTTTCAATTTGGATTAAAAAGTATTTGATCCAGTTCAAAGACATTTTTCTATTTTATAATTCTATTTACTTGTTAATTAAGAGGAAAAACCTGGCGGTTGAGCGTGATCACCTCACTGTAAAACAGCGGGTGTACCTCCCTTTAAGTGAAAGTAAAAAATTTGTTTGCCTGAATAGTCATAAGGTTGAAAATGTTTGTTATTACTTTTTTTTTCAATAAAAAGTTCTTTTTTCATTTAAAGAAAAAAAGAAGATGAAGAGAATCACTCAAAGAATGGTATACAAGATTCGATTCACCATGATTGAATCGCTTCAAATTGATTTAGTTAAAAGAATCGAATTCCCCATCTCTAGCTCGAATAAGAAGTATTTACGAGTTCAAGATAGTTTTCTGGATTTCTCTGATTGGTAAACAACATAGTCTGTAAAACTTAACATCTTTTAGAACTATAATATATCATTACTTCTGAAAAAGTAGAATTATTAAACCAAAAGTTATTTGATCCAAGGCTACTGAAAAGAGAATATAGTATAAATTAAGGAATAAAAAATGCACACAGATTGTTAAATTTAATACCTCAAGTATTTCTTCATAGCTCAAAGCTTGGATAAGTTCAGGATCATAACCTTGCTGTAGAAATATTTTATCAGGTATTAAATGCTGAAGATTAATTCTTTTCAACAAAGCTGTTACAAAGGGGTTTTCATCTGACCATCCAGCTCGGCTTAATAAAATTGAAAATATACAAATAATCTAAAATACAAAAGAAAAAAATACATATCATTCAACTGTCTTTAAATGAGGTTTCTACTCAATGACAAATAATTAAACAATAAAATAAAATGAATTTGTTTGATCATTAGGTGAAATGTCTTTATGAACTACAACTATGGTAAGAAAGATGGATTATCATATGGGTTACCAACCAATCTTTTCCATCGAAAGCGAAGTCAAAATTTATTGTACAGTTTTGTTAAAAAATAAAAGTCAATCCCCAACTTAAAGACAAGGATTTCAATTGCTACCACTTCTACATGAGAATGCTGAGGGTTTTTTGTATATACATAAAAAATCTACCATGGACCCAATTCTTTTATCTATGTTTATTAAAATAGTAAATAAGAGAAAAACAAAGAATAATGCTAGCGCAAAACATTTGAAACAAACAATAAAAGGGCTATTTTCCTTAACAAGAGATTTTTTTAATAAAAAGATAATCAAGAAATCAATAATTTTTCATTGAACACAAATCATAAATATATTAAACTGAAGGTAATTTAAATATATATACATAAATCATATATGATTAACTAGTAAGAATATTATGCTGAACTATTAATGATCATCGATTAAAATACTGGCCCTTATTTCAAGTACAGTTGGTTGCCATCGAAAGTTAGACCTAGGGTCTACCCCCTCAATTAGGTGAGGTCTAAAGTAGAAAAACTCGTAAAAGTGTTAACTAATTTATAATCTTTTGACAATGATTAGACTAGTTGATTATAAAAGTGTTATTAATATCTGAAGAGGATTGATTATTATTAAAATGAAGTAATACAGTAAACATAGGTATATTTCTGTATTAATAATTACTCAGTGCCAGCCTAAGATATTAGATCCATCTCCCCAAACAATTATATCATGAGCATCTCTTCTCAACGAACAACAATTTTTTTTTTAACTGTTGGTTTAGTTAAGATATGAATTTTATTTTATTAAATTAAATGTGGCAAATTCAGTTGCTTTATTAGTAGACTAAACTTTTTCATAATTCCCAACAAGTGGAGGGAAGCTGGGACATTTCAGATATTCCATCTAACTCTATCCGAAGCGGTTGCCCTAAATTTGTGATCATTTAGCAGATTCCTGACAGTTTCGACAACACTATTCTTCACTATCCACCTTGAATGCCTTTTTTACTTTCACTTACCTATATATGAAATATGTAGTAAGGAAAAGTATTGCGATCGTGAAAATTTTCGAATCTGAGTTTTCAACAGAAATACATGTTTTGAGGTACCCTGAGTTTAAATAACCAAGTCCTGCAAAATGGTCTGTGTGTGTGTTAACAGTCTAGCTCAAACTAAAAGTCGTAGGTAAGTGAAATTGCATATTTAAGGTTTTTATATGCTAGGGATTTACAGCAACTTTTTCGTCAAAATCGGCTAACCGAAAATGGCACTATATATAATGGACTAAACACATTTTTGCGATTTTCTCAAAAACGGCTCTAACGATTTTAATTAAAATTTAGTTTTTATTCTGATTAATGTTCTCGAACAGGGCTTAAATGGCTAATTTTCAATATTAGCTTCCCCTGAAGTACCTTTAATTTGAAGCTAATCATTACACATTAATCTATAATATAAAAGACAGTTAAATATAAAATATGAAGGAATTTGATAATTAACTAAAGGAGAATAGTTACAATAAGAGATTGTAACGGAGAATAGTTGTAATTGAGGAACCATAGATTAGAACACGCTTCCATAAGTAACATGAGCTTAATATAATAAGGACTCCGACAATATTATGTAAATACACATATGCGGTTTTCATAGATGCAATTATTGGTTTTAATTAATATTTAATTGTATAGATTACAGCGATATAAATATTAAAATTAGTATATACAAGGGTACTTATAAAAATAAAAATACCCACAATGAAATATAAATCAATATAGCATTTATAATTTTTACTTTCACTTCCCCTTTTTCTGAAAGTACTTATTTCTGCTAAGAAGAGGGTAGTAAGTAAAAGTTGTGTGATGTGCGCACTGCACCAGATTTCTATATTAGGACTTTTGATAGTACCTCTCATAACCTGTGTACACTACCTGATTTCAGGTAAAGCCTCACACAGTTTTCCTAGTTTAATAAAGTGAAAAACATTTGTGATATTAAGGCTTGATTTTAGATCAAAGGGACTAGCTATGGATCTATGGGTGGCATGCTGCTACACCATAGGAGCCATGTAACATGAAATTGGGTGACCCTCTCCAGTCACTCCCATAAGCAACAAATGTCTGTAAGAAAATTAAAGTGTATATTCAAAGATTTCCATAGTCTATAGTGTTAGAAGACAAAAAATACATACTCATATTTATTTACCTCTTGATCATGATTTCGGATTTCTTCATTACTTACTAAATTAAGTAATGTTTCATTAGCAGTAACTAGATCATTTTGTTTTAAACAATAAACCCATTTAAGAACAGGTTTGTCAGAAATGTATTCTTTTAACTGCAATTCATACACTTCAGGTAATGACAAGTTCAGTAAATGCTTATATTTGCCGGCACTATACAGGTACTCAAATAGGCAATCACAGAATCCCTATAAAAAAATAAAAAATAATATATATACATATATAATTATCTTTATAAATAAAAATGTATATAAATAGGTGAAGTAAAAATTATACATAATAAAAGTTCAAAATAAATTTTACTCACTTCCCTACCAAATTCTTTAATATAATCAGCAATATCAGCTTCTAGATGTAGATGATATATTAATGGTGCTAAATAATCAAAATTTTTATACTTGTAGGCTAGCCTTAAAGCTTCAAAGAGCATATTCTTATCCACTAAAAGTAAATATAACAAAAAAACATTATGAAATTAAATATACAAGTTTTAATTTTAAGGCTATAATTAGAAAATAAAGTGTCAACTAAAGAAATACAATTTCAAACTAATCAAACCAATTTCACATTAAATTGATTATAACAATTTCATACAGGCATCTTTGCCCAATTCTAGAAAGTTCATTAATTGGCCTGAAAATAATAAAATAAATAAATAAAGCAGGGGAAGAATCATTGATATGTCAAGATTTGAGACTGATTATTATTAGGGAAAAAAGTCGATCCTCTAAAACATTTTTCTTATACTTTGATTTAGTACACAGTTGGATAGAAAGTAAAACAATTGTAAATAGACATATAATGAGCTGTATAGAGTTTTGCAAAAAGACAGTATAGAGACTTGTTTTGTGAGCACACATTGTTCCTTGTTCCTTTTTAGCAGACTTGGGCAGTATTTTAAATAAAATATTTTAAAATAAATTTTTGTATTTTAAGGATTATAATATAAAATACATTGTAACTGTAACAAAATATATAAAATGTATTTTAAATACATATCTTGCATGGGCTTATTACCGTGTAGTGGAGCGTTCTACAGGTGGCGGATTTGGGGATTGTCGGTGGAAATTCCTTGGGAAGTTCCTCCCGGCTAAGTTCGATGGACCCACTGGCCCACAATGAGAGGGGCTCTCCAGATTTGCTGGAGGGTGTGACGTACGATTGAATGCCTTACACACATGTGTTTAGTTCATTACACCATAAGCAGGTTTACACCACAAATAAGGTATCTTCCTAAGGTAAAATGCTCGTTATCCAGAGGTAAACTAGCCTCCCCCGTTCAAGTCTCCGGGTGGAGACTGCTTTAGGGGATTCATGGCACAAGCTGAAAAATAGAGATTTAGGTATTGGTACATGGAACGTAAGGAGTTTGAATTCAGCAGGTGGGTTAAAATCAGTAGCAAACGAGCTTAATGGGTACACAATTTGGTTATTATGGCTCTGCAAGAGATTCCCTGGCCAGGGAAAGGCTCGATAAGGGAAGAAAAGTACACTATTTGGTATGGAGGAAGCGGGAATCATTGTTTAGGTACCGAGTAATTAGGAATAGATTGCAATCCGCTTTGAGGGATACAATAAAAAAAAATACAATACAACAAATTCGTTAAAGAAAATGGAAAGTTATGCAAATGTATAAATTTAACAAATTCGATGAACGGGAAAAACATAGTAATAAATTGTTTAGTTGACTTCCCTATATATGGCTCCTTGTAAGATGAAACAACTCAAGCATGGAGGATTAGAACCAATAAGGAGCTATATGATTTGTTCAATTATAGTGAAAGCTTTATAAAATCACAGCGGATCAAATGGCTAGGACACGTTCTTAGAATGCCAGATGAGAGAATCCCAAAAAAGATGCTTCAAGGAAGAATTTATGGTGTCAAAGAAAGGGGAAGACCGAGAAGGTGGTTGAAGGATGTGGAGGATGACCTAAGGCGGTTAAGAGTTACAAACTGGAATGAAAAGGCTAAGAACAGGAATGTCTGGAGAGCTGTTATTCAGGAAACCAAGGCCCACCCCAGGCTGTAGACCTATCAAAGAAGATATATGAAAATATCTATCTACTGTAAGGTTGGTAAGTAAAAGTTTCGTGATGTGCGAACCACACCAGATTTTTAAATTAGGTATTGTTCACATCACACAAACAAGGAGGCAATTATATTGAAAAATAGAATGATGCTTTAGCTTTCAAATGATGAATTTGGTTTTAGTTGCTATGTTCAAGAAATAAAGGAACCTTATTTCATGATCTGCCTTCCTACTTTAGAACATTTGTGGATTGATGACAAGCAGTAATCTATAGTATTTATACGTAATGTTAAAACATAAACTATCAATTAGCTAAAAGTAATACTTACTGAAAAATTGTATAAAACTAGAAGACAACTTATCAAATTCCACTTTGGTGATATATGGCATTCGTAGAAAAAGTAAATTATTACAAAGTTTGAAAAATTGTCTAAGAATACTTCTTAATTTCAATGCTTGAGCACCCCATGACTTAATAACATTTATATTTAAATTTGCCTGAAAAATTATAATTTTTTTTCACTAAATGTAACAATAAGCTACAATGATTAAAATTATTCAATCTTCATTTAACATACTAATGCAATAATGTCACTAAATAATCCTGGAGAAGCAGATAACCAAGGTAGATAAGTAGTGTCAATATAGTAACCTTTTTTACACTTTCTTCTTATGATGGAACCTAAAATAGACTGTAAAAAAATTCAAATTAAATAAATGGTAATTAATTTTTAATTACAAATTGCTTCCATATTAATATAATTTTTATGTTTGAAAAAAAAAAGACATGAGAAAGTAATATTGAAATGATTAACAATAAAACATGGAATGAAGCAAGTTTCATTCATAACAAAAAAAAAAATTGACTGGGCATGTCAGATGCTATAAAAAGAAAACAATATGTAGCAGTCTGGAGAAGAAAAAGAAAAAGTTATAATTCTTGTTAAATCAGAAAATGGTATAAATGAATAGTTAATATAAAAGCCTGTTCAAACTATAATTTTATTTTAATTAACACGTTAGCTACGGTTACGGTCTCTGGGTTCCGTTATTCGTCTCGACTACCAAGCGGCCGGGATTGTTTCAAATTTTGCATATTTTACAAAGTCTTTAAAATGGTCATTTTTAAACATTTTTGAATGGGAGTTGAATGGATGTAAAGATACAAACATAAATAATCATTATATCTGATATAAAGGACTGTGATGTAAATAATATGTTAAAAGTTTATTGTAACTATTCATTTTTGGTGGGAATTGCGAATAGCCTCTACACTTTGTCAGGGGACTAGATTATTTACACTCGTGAATATTAAAACAAAACCCCGGCACTGGATATATATATACTGGATATATTTTGAGGGTGTTTAACTGTTGTTGGGAATTCGGGAACCTAATACTTTTGTGACACTGAGTGAGAAGAAACAATAAGAATATATATATGAAATGTGGGACTTAGTAAATACACTTTGAATGAATTGACTCACCTGGGTTGTTATTCTTCAATTTTGAGGCATGTAGGACAACTAAATAAAATGACTTTTCACTCCTGTATAATAAAACAATTTATTTTGACAACTGTAATAAATGAATCTATTAAAGTCTTATAACTTTAGGCTTGATATTCTTAGTCTTCAGTGTAGTAGGCTTCTCTTCTCAGGTAACGTCCTTTCCTCCTCATGCCCCCGCCTCAAGTGCGTTCTCCTCTCTTCTTCAGCTGTTGCTACCTGCTCCATCCTCTTCCAACCTTCTTTCTTCATCGAATGTTTATTGATATGAAACATTTCAATAAATAATTTGTCCGCTGCACAATTGAGTACAATTCATCGTTGCAACCTCACACTCCTATATATTCCTTCCCATTCCCTCACACAATGTCGCATAAAGGAGTAAATACAGGGGGCTATCTACTACAGTGATGGTATGCCCTGATTCTATTTGCCGCACTTCAACCAGTATCACAAGCAGTTAGCAACTTAATACTTCACTTTCATTTTTTCTTTTCTTGATTTAAATTCCAATGTAATAGTGAATACTTAGATACCTATATTTTTCTTGCATTGCCACAATATGGTACTTATTATGTAACTTTAATTTTTTTTATTCCGCTTTTATCTTGACATTGAAAAAGTATTACACAAATAATGTATAAATTCTATATGAAAATTATAATCATATGTAATAAATTAACTTTTTCTCATTTCATTTTCAATATTTAAGATTTATATCCTTAAAAATAACACCATTTTTACTGAAATAAAGAGAAATAATATATAACTCGTCATATAAATGGCATCGGACATCAGAGACCACTCCTACGATTGCTGGCAATTAATGAGGATACAATCAACAGATAGAGACACTAAATAGGGAATTCAGTTCACCATTGTTGTAAAAAGATGGTGGTACAGCTCGATACTGATGTATGTCACCAATGTCTGATGCTGTTAGGAACTTCATAACTAGTGTCAGACGCAGGGGACCGATATTGTCAGGAAAAACATTTAAGAGATATCATGATCAGCAGCTAACGTGTTAACAATATCAAGGAATATGTTGTAAAAGAAAGATATAGGATAAAAAAATGTATTAATAAAAAGAAGATATCAGAAAACAAATATTAATAAAAATACCAACATTTATGACAGCATTCGTCTCCTTTAGTAACCTTAGGTAACCAAAAGTTGTAGTATAATCACCAACATTTTCTAAACATATATTTATCAGGCGCCTCAATGCTTCATCCGATACACTAGCCTAAAATTATAAAAAATCAATTTTAATGAGAATCAAGTTGGGTAATACATAATAATAATGCTTTATTTATTTAGGCCTGAGCCCCTTTAGAATAATACAAAAATACAGAAATGTCACTAAGGAGCCTCAGAGATACATAAATAATAATCACAAAGTAAATATACAATCATAATAAAAAAGTATCAGTTACTTTCTGACTTTAATCAACTAAGAAAAAAATTATAAAACATAAGTAAAAATAATTAAGAATGGTCTAATAATTTATATACATTACAATTTTATGGGGATTGGATGGATAAAAAATTATTAAACAGGCGGGATTTAAAGGTAGGGAGGGTATTGAAGTGATGGATATAGGAAGGGATGAAGTTCCATAGGGATGAGGATCAAATAATGAACGATCTATCGATACAGCGGTTCGGGGGGCCATAATATATAGATCTGAAGACCTACTGGGTACTGCGGGTATGAATCGAGGATTTGAATTGAAGGAGTTCAGAGATGTATGAAGGACAACAGGATTGGATGACTTGAAAGAGAAAGGATGCCAGAAAATACGACAGTAGGAAAGATAAAACTACTTCAACTCTTCATAAAAATGGGGAACAGCGGATTCCTAGAGGAAGAATAGGGCAGATGAATCGTATAAAACAATTTATCAATGAATTATTGAAGGAAGCTGGTCGACTGTTCTACATATCATGGGTGATAAATATTCAGGACGCAGTCTTTTTTTAAAAAAAATTAAAATACAAACTTAAATAATTTTTTTCAAAAAAGACTGCGTCCTGAATATTTATCACCCATAATTTATCAAATGTTTTAGTTTCGCTTTGAGATCCCCAGAAACGTCCCCATATAGCAATAGTCAAAGTGGGAAAATATTAAGGATATGAATAGGAGCCTACAGGTTTCAAATGGAAATAGGTGGCGGAGGTAATTTAGACGTTTTAAGGTAGAAAAGGTATGACAGGAGACATTGAATAGAGGGTTTTTCCAGAAAAGGGTTTGATCAAAGGTTATTCCTAGGTTTCTAATGGGGGGATAACATTTTATGGGATTATTATGTGGTTTGTCAGTTAATATAGGGATGATCAGTTTTAAGGAGGTGATTGGAGCTCACTAGTATTGCCTTCGCTTTCTCTGCATTCAACTTTAACTTGTTAGCTCCTGTCTAGTCACGAATTCTATTTAAATCTTTTTATAGCTGGTAATAGGTCAGAAGGCAGGAAAGACAGGTATATTTGGAAATTCTGCGGAAGAAATCTCTTAATTCTTTGCTTCCGTTCTAGACTTCTATTTTCTGCAAATGCCATTAGCTCACACAATGGTTTGAAAATACTCTAGTCAATGTTCGCACATTGCCTTCTAGACCTATTTATTGTTATCTTTCTATCATACTCAGTTCACTGATACTTGGCTAGACTTATTTATTATTGATTCCACTCATAACCTATTATCCTCTACGCAAATTCCAGTTTCTTTCCTTTCATCCCACAATCTTATTGAAATATCGTATAATATCTCCACTCCCACATCTAAATCCGAACAGAGAGATCTTGATTCCTTAACCACCGAAATCATTAGCCCTTTTCCCTGATTTTCTTTCTGCTTTCCTAGAGCTCATTTATTCTCTTCCCTCCATCGATGACATGGTTGAATGCCTTTCCTCCAACCTCCTTAATTTCCTAAATCATCACGCACCTCTATAAACACGTCCTCCCGCACTTTGGATTAATACAGAAATAAGAGAACTAATGAGAAGAGAGGCTGCGAGAAGACACTACAGACATACTCGACTGACACAGCATTATACCACATTTAAATCCCTACGAAACCTCACACAAATATCCCTACGCCACATCAAAGTGCAATGCTTTTAGTAATGTTTTATCCCAAGAACCTAATCATAAATCCAAATGGACAATCATCTGTTGTTAGCTCGAAAACCTGCACACAATATCCAGTCGATCTGAACAAGCTAAATTCTTTTTCAACTATTTATTTTTCATTCACATCTTCATCTGACCGCACAATTTTTTCCATCACCGAAACCCCTTCAATCCTCATAAGTTTTATTTTCTTGATATCTCTCCTACTGACCTACTCTCTGCCACACTTAAATCCAAAACAAATGAATATGGTCCTGACTAAAATACCCGTTAAAATTATCATACTCTGTCTTCCAGCCTTACTTCTATACACATATAATTTCTCTCTCCTAAATTCCATTTTTCGCAAATCCTGGAAAAAAAACCATAGTCCAGCCATTGAACAAAGTTTCTACTCCTTCATCAGCTTCCGACTTCAAACCCATCTCGATTTTGTCCAATCTATCCAAGCCTCTAGAAAGATTAGTCCACTCTCAGTTGAACTGCTTTCTCGAGCAAAATCTTCTACTCACTCCTTTACAATCTGGTTTCCGTTCCTATTATTCCACCGAGTCTGCCTTGCTAAAGATCAGCCAAGATCTGCAATCCGCGATAGATAAACAAAAAATTTCGTTAAACAATTTCTAATATTCTGTCATTGCATTCCTCTGAAAACCAGACAGCTCCTTGTAACCTACCTTATATTCCCTCACTTCGACTACGGCTGCTTGGTGTATGGAGGGCTATCTGCCAGACTAGAAATAAGACTAAAAAAGCTCATGAACTGTTTCATAAGATACATATTTGGGATCCCCAAGCGCTCCTATGTTTCATTCTGGTACACTGAGTTAAAGTGGCTTTATCCTACTTCCCAACGACAATTCCTCCTTGGCGATTTCCTATTTCAGGTACACCGAGTTAAAGTGGCTCTATTCTACTTTCCAACGACAATTCCTCCTTAGTGTTTTCCTTTTCCAAGGCTACAGAACCAAAAACCCTCCCTACATCCTGGAACTCCTTACTTTATGTTCCTCTATCCACTCTCTCAATACCAGATCTGCCTCCTTTTGAAGCTTCTATCTAACTCCACATATCAATTCCCATCCACAAATTCCTATAAAAAACTCCTATTCCACCACCTTCTCCATATTCAAACTTCCCCAAACATGTAAAATTCACATGCGTCTGTAAAAAGTCTAATTTAATCAATTGCACAATTGCAAAAACAATCAACAGTTAATTAGGCATCATTTTGTATTCATCTAAGCCAGACATAAATAATTATGTAACTCTAATTATGTGGCACTATAGTCCCAGAATAAAATTATTTTTCATTTCATTTCATTGCTTTGGGTAGGATCTAGTGAAGAATTTGATAGTAAATCAATGCCATTTGATTAGAGGATAGAACGTATGTATATGAAGTCCTGAAGAAACAATGTAGCAATGCCTGAAATGGTACAAATTAATTAATACAATTTCTTAATGGGCAAAGACTATAAAAATTATAGAGGAGCTGTGACAGAGAAAAACAAAATGTAAGCAGAAATAAAAGCCAGAATTGCAGCAGACTGAAGTGTTTTATTTTTATTTATTTTTTGTGATAGCAAAACACTTAACTCTAAAGTTTAGATACACAGATCTGCTATCTCTGCTCATGGTGGGTTGGTAATCTTTTTATGTGGGTTATATTTTTATCTATTGCATTGCCACAGTCAAACATAAAGCAATCTTTTGCAGCAAGCAAAGCAAAGAAATTGTAGATAACTGTGAAAGACCATGTTCTGTGTGCTTGATCATCAAAGAACTGTCATGGAACCGTATGGTAATAATTTATAAAACTATTATAAGGCAGGTGGTTAGTTATGACAGTGAAATTTAGGAATTTTGGCAAACAAGATTCTGAGAAAAATATCAAATTGCCTCAAATTATAGGGGATAGTGAGGTTGCTAAAAATATCACGCTTTACCCACCTACCCTCTGAAGAGGCTACTTAGGAGAAGAACACATCAGCTGTGGATTGAAGGTACAGAAGCCAACCTCAGTTTCAGTAATACAGTTTGAAAAAAATTGAGAATAGTTATTGATAGGGAAGCGTGTTACCAAATACCAGGTCCGAATAGGACTGTTGTGCCAACTAATAATAGCAATAAAAGTAAAGCTTAATTAAAAACATAAAATATGCCTCATCTTTTAAAATTCAACCATTAAGTCTATTAAGTTTTCTAAAAATAAAAAAATTCTATTCCTTTTAGAACTTACAGGTTCATTATACCCGATTACATAGTATTTGAATAGCTGGGTTAGTTAATAACATCAAAATTATTAAAAAAAAAAAAAAAAGAGAAAACTTACATAACGATAAAAATGATCCAATAAGCCTATTTCCCGAGTATATTCAAAATTCAGATCCCGGGCAACATCTGCCACTGCATCTTGAACAGTTTTTCCAAACCTGTTAAATTAAATTTTAAACAAAATAAGTGAAATTTTCAAGTCATGAAAGAAATCTATTTTTTCCACCATGCAGTTAATTTGTTAAAATAAAATATACATATTTTAGTTTTATTGGTTATAAAATATACATATTTTATTTTTATGCATTCTACTTCAACCTTCAATTGGATTTTGATTTATATACTGATTTTACTTCATTTTCAAACATAGTACAGTAAAATTAGGGAAAAAATATTCGAAACCCAAACATCTAAAGAAACTTGTCGGACGGAAAATTGTTGATTACCCTCCCCATAATAACTGGTAAAAAGTCCCAAACATTTGATAGTAAGTTAGTTGGGGGTTATAAGTACGATAGAAAACTGATATTGATATTGATAAAATCAATGGTCAAGAAGATATTTAAGAGATTATATTTATAAAATTTTCACTTAAAGCAAACATTTATTCAAACCATGAAATGACATAGCTGTCTTTCATAGTAGATGATACAACTTCAAAGTTTAATTCATTTTTATAACATATTTATTTCATCTGTTTTATAACATTTTCAATCATTTGCATTATAATTAAAATTTTCTTTGGTAATCATTTAGATGAGAACCGCATGGGCTATGCATGGTTCACTATCACTTCATGAAACGCCAAAAACAGTCTTTCAGATAAACCCGGATGCATTTGGCATTCCATAAACAAGTGTGACCGAAGTGATTGTGAACCACGCTTAATCCGTGCGGTCCTCATCTGAATAATTATAGTTTCTTTGTTCGCATGTTCTAAAAAATCATTGACAGCAGACCAATAGCAATAAATAAGGAATTTTGTGATACGAAGGTGGTGTTTATATTCAAATTGATTTAATATAATTGATATTACAAAATAAGCATATAACCATGACACCAATCTAAACTATAAAGCCATGAGTAAAGTAATTAATCTTCCTCTGCTGTGTTAATGGAACATTCTGTTTTTTTTTTAATATCTATTTGGATGGCTTGGTGAGATGTCAATAGCATATATTTTCTTTTTCTTTCTTCATATAGAAAGATCTTAATAGATCTTGTTTTTTCTGTTCTGATGATGCCTGAAATGGCAAAACGTTAGCAGGTTAACTGTTCACCTGTATGTTAGAGACTCATGGCTTTACAGTTTGGATTTTTCCAGTTTTAACATAATAATTGATAATTGAGGTGGCAGTAACAAAATAGTTACTATAAACCATGGTCTGATTTCTCAAAGAAAACAAAAAAATTTAATTAAGTATAGTACTTTTTTAAGTTAGACACATTTCTTATTAAGTGATAACTAAAAAAATATTTAATTTAGGTTATTAACAATTACTTCATATTAAACTAGACTACCTTCAAACAAATATAGTAATAGGTTATTATTAAAACAGGAGAGATGACAGCCAGTTAATGTGTATTTCAAAATATTTCTTAGATGAATATGATGCAGAGCACCGAAAGCTTCAAAACATAAATATATGAGATTATAAAAAGAAGGGTGGTTTTTCTTACTTTCAGAAATATGTTTTTTTTTTAAACAGTAGTAAAATATACATTAACAGGTTTTATTATACATTAATGAATAATAAAGTACACATTATTATACATTAAAACCAGAACTGGAAAAAAAGTATTTTAATTATTATTTTAAAATACTGTATTTAAAATGCCAAGAATTTTGTTCTTAAAATACAAAATACTTGCTGGTGGACTATCAGCCTATAATATAAGGAACTTAATATATTAGGTAATTTATTTTGCGTATTTTAACTACAAAATAAAATACATTTTTATGCAAAAGGTATCTTATAAAATACATCAAATATTTTTTTCTATTTTATAAAGAATATACACTTACAATCTACTTTAAATTTTACTTCGTAAAATGCAAAATACAAAAAATGTATTTTATTTTGTATTTTAAAATATTTTATTTGAAATACACTGCCCTATTCTGATTAGAACTACAAGTGATCTGAGCTCTGAATTAGTAGTTTTTTAATATGATTTTAAAAATTTAAAACCAATATTTGGATGATCTATAAAATGATAAGTTTAAATAGAACTGTAAATAAGAGTAGATAAAACAATGGATTAGATAATATGAGGTTGTTCCAAAAGTCTTTGTGCATAAGTTTAGCTTTATTTCATATTACATATTTTAAACATTAAGTCCATTGTTTTTAACAATGTTCACCCACATTTGAATGAATGAAAAGATAATTTTATTCTGGGACTATAGTCCCCTAAAAATAATAACAGAGTTACATAATTATTTATGTCAGGCTTAGATGGATACAAAATGATGCCTAATTAACTGTTGATTGGTTTTGCAATTGTGCAGTTAATTGAACTAGACTTTGTACAGATGCAAGTGAATTTTACATGTTTGAGGAAGTATGAATATGGAGTAGGTGGTGGAACAGGAGTTGTTTGAAGGAATTTGTGGACGAGGATTGACGTATGGAGTTAGATATAGAGTTCCAAAAGGAGGCAGCATGAATAACGAAGGATTTGCTGAAGGAAGTAGTTTTATGGGAGGGGATAAATAAATCTATAGGCTGAGACCTGGTATTGAGAGAATGGATAGAGGAATGTAGAGTAAGGAGTTCCAGGATGTAGGGAGGGTTTTTGGTTCTGAGGACTTGGAAAAGGAAAACACCAAGAAGAAATTGTCATCGGGAAGTAGGATAAAGTCACTTCAGCTCAGCTTACCAAAAAGAAACATGAGAACGCCAGGGGATTCCAAAGATTCCAATAATTAATTATTCTTTAGTCAAACGAGAACAGTGTGCAGGGGCATTGTCGTATTGCATAATAGCTTGATACCTGTTGACCAAAGTGGGGTACTTTGCCCTCAAAACAGCACTAACTCTGTCTAGCTGTTCACAGTAAAAGTTTGTGTCCACTGCTCTATCATTAGGAGCAAGCTCAAAATGCAAAATGCCTTTGAAGTTCCACCAAACACAAAGCATCACTTTTTTCTCAAACCAAACTTGGCTAACCTTGGTTGTGCAACTTCATCTGGCTGTACCCACTGCTTATATTTGCTAGGATTTAAAAAAAATATCCACTTTTCGTTTCATTTCGATAATTTTTTTCCATAACCTTTCATATTTTGGACTTTGAAGCAAAATTTTGCAAATATCAACTTGCTGCTGGGGCCTCTGTCACTGTCGCCATATGGGTTGGTGTTCAATTCCGTATGCCCAGGTTTTAACCTGACAAACCACTGTGGCATTAGAAGCCCCTACTATGGCTGAAAAATCACGAGTAGTTGCATATGGGTCCTGGTTCATACAATCAAGAACATAATCATCAATGATTGATGGGTTTTCTGATCTGGGTTCATCTGCAAGACTCTTAGTCCCATTGTCGAAACGCCGGAACCAAATTGAGGCAGTATTTCAATGGATAACTGACTCTCCTTAGACGGCACAAATGTTTTGATAGCTGCCATTGAGCTTAGACTTTTTTTTTTTTCCAGTAATGTTTCAAAAGGTGTGAATCACGATTTTTTTTTGCTGACATTGCACATAGGTTTTAAATATATAAATTACCCCATAAAAATAATTCAAATAACAAGGAATTAAAGGGTTTGTTAAAGTAAACATTGGAATAAATAGTAGGAACAAAAACATTCTTATAGCATTAATTACGAGAGTTGGAATTAAGGGTTGAGTTCATGCATAAGGACTTTTGTAACAACCTAGTATTTACCAACAATAATTAAATAATTTAAATTAATTATTCCTGCCATAATACATGTTCAAAACAGATATACTTTACCCTTTTTAAAAAATAACTAGTTAAGGTGGTACAAAAGAAAGTATCAAATAATTAAATAAATGAGTCTAAAATAATCTTACTTTTTTTGAAGTTTACGCAACATGAATGCAGTAGCAATCTTTTCATTATGTTCGTACAATACATGAATAGTCTTGACTGTGTCGTTCAATTTCGTGACTTTTCCAAGCTTTAAAAACAAAGAAAGAAATTGACATCTTTTTAAAAAGAAATATTAGATTGTAAAATATTAAAATGAAGCAAACATGATAGTAAATTACAAAGCCAGATGTTTTAGTTATGTAAATAAATTTTAAATTACTTGTTCATAGATATTAAAATTTGAAACAACTGAATAAATTGGAAAAAAATGTAACAATGTTTTTGTTTTTAGAATTTTGAGTTTAGAACTTTTAAGGAGCAGCTTAGCGTTCCCAACTAGTTGAAAAGGATCTAAACTGCGTTTTATACACAAAACCTGGGAAGGGAACGTACTATGATCCCAAGTCTTTCAAGGCCGATATGCATATAATCTTTCCTAATGAAGACTTTGGAAAAGACTGTAGACAGGCATATAAGAGATCAACTGTTGACTTTAAATCCTTTACACTCAAATCAATTAGAAACTAAACTAAAATCTTAAAACAGAACTGGAGCAAATCTGGATTAAGCCTGGAGGGAATTGTCCACAGGGAGGTGTGCTTTCTTCAATACTGTGGTGTTTGGTGGTGGACTCCATAACTGTTACACTGAATACTGCAGGTTTCTATGCAAAGAGATATGTGGATGATATGGCTATTCTTATAGAGGGAAAACATCAAAATGTTCTTTCTGATCTGTTAAGGACTACGACAGGTGTCTTGGGAGGATGGTGTCAGTCAAGTGGACTGATTGTCAACCGGGCTAAGATAAATGTGTGCATCTTCACCATGAAGAAAAAGGTGGTAATAAAACTACCTAAAATCAATGGTTTCCAGTTACCCTCTAGCAAGGAGGTGAAGCACTTAGGTGTTACTCTTTACAATAAAATGAAATGGAATAGTCATGTGAAAAACACAACTAACAAAGCACTCAAATGCCCATGGTTCAAAGAGTTTTGACCGCGAGATGTGGTTTCCTAGATTTAAGTACACGATTCCCGATTTAAGTGCATGGGGGTAGGATCATCAGTCCTACCCCCAGTCGGTGCGAGTTGCCTCCAGTAGGCTGACGGACCTCACATACGGGAGGGGGGGGGATTTCGGGCAGCGTGGCTTTCCCTGGTGGACAGTCACCGATCCAAGTGCTAACCATGCCTGATGTTGCTTAAGTTGGTTACCTAGTGAAAGCGCCTTAGCCTGAAATATATATAGTTCATATATAGCATTTCCAAGTCAATTTAAACCTTTTCCAATTCAAATTCAACCTTTTCCAAATCAAATTAAACTTTTTCCAAGTCAAATTCAACCTTTTCCATTTCAAATTAAACCTTTTCCATTTCAAATTCAACCTTTTTTTATATCATTAACGCATTTATACTTTTGGGTCATATTATCTTACGATTCAAGTGGAATGAAAATGGTTGTTCATGAGCTTTTAATTAAATAGAAAAAATTTGCTGATCCCTAGATTATCTTTAATTTTTCGATGCGTGGGTCTGTTATGTATGAGTAGTTTTTTAAAATAACCTCCTTTTTAAGATTACGTGACTGCGTTTCGAATTATTTAAGTTTTTTTGACTTATTCGATATAAGGGTGTATTTTTATGTTTCCCGATCAGTAAATTTTTAAAATGACATCTATTTTATGTTTACGCCACTGTGTTTTGATTTATTTAAGTTTTTAGAATTTATCCAATATAAAGGTCTACTTTTTTGTTTCCGGAGCCGTAGATTTTGAAAACGACCTCCATTTTAAGATTAGGCCACCGCGTTTCGACTTATTTGAGTTTTTTGGATATTTTTCATATGAGGGTGTATTTTTATGTATCCGGAGCTGTAGATTTTGAAAATGACCTCCATTTTAAGATTAGGCCACCGCGTTTCGACTTATTTGAGTTTTTCGGATATTTTTCATATGAGGGTGTATTTTTATGTTTCCGGAGCTGTAGATTTTGAAAATGACCTCCATTTTATGATAACGCCACTGCGTTTGGACTTATTTAAGTTTTTCGAATTTATCCAATATTAAGGTCTATTTTTATGTTTCTTGAGCCGTAGATTTTGAAAATGACATCCATTTAATGATAACGCCACTGCGTTTGGACTTATTTAAGTTTTTCAAATTTATCCAATATTAAGGTCTATTTTTATGTTTTCTGAGCCGTAGATTTTGAAAATGACCTCCATTTTATGATAACGCCACTGCGTTTGGACTTATTTAAGTTTTTCGAATTTATCCAATATTAAGGTCTATTTTTATGTTTCTTGAGCCGTAGATTTTGAAAATGACATCCATTTAATGATGACGCCATTGCATTTTGACTTATTTAAGTTTTTCGAATTTATCCAATTTAAAGGTCTACTTTTATGTTTTCGGAACCGTAGATTCTGAAAATGACCTCTATTTTATGATTACGCAACTGCGTTTCAACTTATTTAAATTTTTAGAATTTAACAAGTATAAAGGTCTAATTTTATGTTGTTTTTTTTACTTTTTCGGTATAAGGATCTACTTATATGTTATCCGAGACGTATTGAAATTTTTCTAATCTTTAATATTTAAATTTATCTAATATTTAAGCTCCATTTTATGATTAAGCCGCTGCATCTTGATTAATTAGACTTCATTTTGGATTTTTTCAATACAAAGTTTCATCAATATGTTTTCGAGTATGAATAAATAAATAAATATTATGAAGCTAAAGTAAAATTAACCACAGAATACAAACTAAAAAGCCGAAAAGCAACTGGTAATAAATTTAACCTTCCGTATTCAGATTTTTCAGCTAATTGTTCGAAATCTTATAATTTTGTGATAGGAGACCACAACATTAAAAAAGATAACTAAAATAAAATTAAAAATGAGACAATACATATTTTATTTATTTTGATTAGATATTTTTATTTATTTATTGAAAAATAAATTAATCCTTCGTATTATGTTTTTTATTCGAAGGAAAAATCAAAAACACTTAACAAAACCGAAACACAGTGGCCTAATCTTAAAATGTAAGTCGTTTTAAAAACTAAGGCTCCGCCATCATAAAAGTAGACCTTTAAATTGGATAAATTCGAAAAACTTGAATAAGCAAAAACGCAGTGGCGTAATCTTAAAATGGAGGTCATTTTCAAAATCTACGACTCCGGAAACATAAGAATACACTCTTTTATGATAAAAATTCGAAACACTTAAAGAAATCGAAATGCGGTGGCCTAATCTTAAAATGGAGGTCGTTTTCAAAATCTACTGCTCCAGAAACATAAGAATACATCCTCATATGAAAAAAATCCGAAAAACTCAAAGAAATTGAAATGCGGTGGCCTAATCTTAAAATGGAGGTCATTTTCAAAATCTACAGCTCCGGAAACATAAAAATACACCCTTATATGAAAAATATCCGAAAAACTCAAATAAGTCGAAACGCGGTGGCCTAATCTTAAAATGAAGGCCGTTTTCAAAATCTACGGCTCCGGAAACATAAAAGTAGACCTTTATATTGGATAAATTCTAAAATCTTAAATAAGTCAAAACACAGTGGCGTAAACATAAAAATACACCCACATATCGAATTTGTCAAAAAAACTTAAATGATTCGAAACGCAGTCACGTAATCTTAAAATGGAGGTTATTTTCAAAACTAGGTACAGGACAGCATAATACTAGTCCCTAAGAAATCCGAATAGGTACAATAAATCGATATCCGTAAGTGAAAATTCTACTTAGGAGAGCATAATAATAGACTTTCATATTGGAGGGGGGGAGGGGATGGCCATTATTTAAAAAAAAAAATAAAATTTACAAAAACTTAAAACATTAATTTGAAATGAAAACGGTTGAATTTGAATTGGAAAAGGTTTAATTTGAAATGGAAATGGTTGAATTGACTTGGAAAAAGTTTGATTTGATCTGGAATTGATGAAAAGGTTGAATTTGACTTGGAAAAGGTTGAATTTGACTTGGAAATAATTGAATATCACATAGAAATATCACACTGAAAAAATCTAAAATGTTAAAATAAATGGATATGCAACTGCGTAATCAATTTTTTTTTTGTATTTTTTAAAAGCTATGCCGTCGATAATATAGTAAGTGGCCTTCATTTCGAAAAAAATCGAAAATTGACAAAAATTCTAAAGTTGAATTTGAAATGGAAAAGGTTGAATTTGACTTGGAAAAGGTTGAATTTGAAATGGAAAAGGTTTAATTTGACTTGGAAAAGGTTGAATTTGATTTGGAAAAGGTTGAAATTGACTTGGAAATGCTATATATGCAATATATAAATTGCAGGCTAAGGCACTTGCAATAGGTGACCGTCCTTCAGGGAAAGCAATAGGTATATATTGTGTGTATATATATATATATATATAGCATTTCTAAGTCAATTTCAACCTTTTCCAAATCAAATTCAACCTTTTCCAAGTCAAATTAAACCTTTTCCGTTTCAAATTCAACCTTTTCCAAGTCAAATTCAACCTTTTCCATTTCAAATTCAACTTTCGAATTTTTGTCAATTTTCGATTTTTTTCGAAATGAAGGCCACTTACTATATTATCGAAGGCATAGCTTTTGAAAAATACAAAAAAATTTTTGATAACGCGGTTGCATATCCATTTATTTTAACATTTTAGATTTTTTCAGTGTGATATTTCTATGTCATATTCAATTATTTCCAAGTCAAATTCAACCTTTTCCAAGTCAAATTCAACCTTTTCCAGATCAAATTAAACTTTTTCCAAGTCAAATTCAACCATTTCCATTTCAAATTAAACCTTTTCCAATTCAAATTCAACCGTTTTCATTTCAAATTAATGTTATAATTTTTTGTAAATTTTATATATTTTTTTTAAAATAATGGCCATCCCCTTCCTCCCTCCAATATGAAAGTCTATTATTATGCTCTCTTAAGTAGAATTTCAGTAACGGATATCAATTTATTGTACCTATTCGGATTTATTAGGGACTAGTATTATGCTGTACTGTACCTAGTTTTGAAAATAACCACCATTTTAAGATTACGTGACTGTGTTTCGAATCATTTAAGTTTTTTTGACTTATTCGATATAAGGGTGTATTTTTATGTTTCCCGATCAGTAAATTTTGAAAATGACATCCATTTTATGTTTACGCCACTGTGTTTTGACTTATTTAAGTTTTTAGAATTTATCCAATAAAAAGGTCTACTTTTATGTTTCCGGAGCCGTAGATTTTGAAAACGACCTCCATTTTAAGATTAGGGCACCGCGTTTCGACTTATTTGAGTTTTTCGGATTTTTTTCATATGAGGGTGTATTGTTATGTTTCCAGAACCGTAGATTTTGAAAACGACCTCCATTTTAAGATTAGGCCACCGTGTTTCGATTTCTTTGAGTTTTTTGTTTTTTTCATATGAGGATGTATTCTTATGTTTCCTAAGCCGTAGATTTTGAAAACGACCTCCATTTTAAGATTAGGCCACCGCATATCGATTTTTTTAAGTGTTTCGAATTTTTATCATAAAAGAGTGTATTCTTATGTTTACGGAGTCGTAGATTTTGAAAATGACCTCCATTTTAAGATTATGCCACTGCGTTTTTGCTTATTCAAGTTTTTTGAATTTATCCAATTTAAAGGTATACTTTTATGATGCCGGAGCCTTAGTTTTTAAAACGACTTACATTTTAAGATTAGGTCACTGTGTTTTGGTTTTTTTAAGTGTTTTTGATTTGCCTTCGAATAAAAAACAAAATACGAAGGATTAATTTATTTTTCAATAAATAAATAAAAATATCTAATCAAAATAAATAAAATATGTATTGTCTCATTTTAAATTTAATTTTAGTTATCTTTTTTAATGTTGTGGTCTCCTGTCACAAAATTGTAAGATTTCGAACAATTAGCTGAAAAATCTGAATACGGATGGTTAAATTTATTACCATTTGCTTTTTGGCTTTTTAGTTTGTAGTCTGTGGTTAATTTAACTTTAGCTTCATAATATTTATTTATTAATTTTTTTATTCATACTCGAAAACATATTGATGAAACTTTGTTTTAAAAAAATACAAAATGAAGCCTAATTAATCGAGATGCAGCGGCTTAATCATAAAATGGAGCTTAAATATTAGATAAATTTAAATATTAAAGATTAGAATAATTTCAATACGTCTCGGATAACATATAAGTAGATCCTTATACAGAAAAAGTAAAAAAAAAAACTTTTATAATCCAAAACACAGTGGCATAAACTTGAAATTGGGTCATTTACAAAATGGGGGAAATTTACTGCTCCAGAAACATAAAATTAGACCTTTATACTTGTTAAATTCTAAAAACTTAAATAAGTTGAAACGGAGTGGCGTAATCATAAAATAGAGGTCATTTTCAGAATCTACGGTTCCGAAAACATAAAAGTAGACCTTTAAATTGGATAAATTCGAAAAACTTAAATAAGTCAAAATGCAATGGCGTAATCATAAAATGGAGGTCATTTTCAAAATCTACAGCTCCGGAAACATAAAAATACACCCTTACATCGAATAAATAAAAAAAACTTAAATAAGTCGAAACGCAGTGGCGTAATCTTAAAATGGAGGTCATTTTCAAAATCTACAGCTCCGAAAACATAAAAATACACCCTCATATGAAAAATATCTGAAAAACTCAAATAAGTCAAAATGTGGTGGCCTAATCTTAAAATGTAGGTCGTTTTCAAAATCTACAGCTCCGGAAACATAAAAGTAGACCTTTATATTGGATAAATTCTAAAAACTTAAATAAATCAAAACACAGTGGCGTAAACATAAAATGGATATCATTTTCAAAATTTACTGATCGGGAAACATAAAAATACACCCTTATATCGAATAAGTAAAAAAAAAACATAAATAATTCGTAACGCAGTCACGTAATCTTAAAAAGGAGGTTATTTTCAAAAACTACTCATACGATAACAGACCCACACATCGAAAAATTAAAGATAATTAAATAAATAAAAAAAGGTTGAATTTGAAATGGAAAAGGTTGAAATTGACTTGGAAATGCTATATATATATATATATATATATATATATATATATATAATTTTTACTGTTGGCCATGACATAAGTTATAAAAAATTTCCCGTTATTTTCTTTTGTCCCCCATTGCATTAGGTTATATGAGATTCACAGGTGTAAAAAGTAAAACTAATAAGATAATCAAGGCGATGAACCTCTGTGAATATCTTTGGCATTATTTTGAGTGCTTGAATTTTAAAGTTTACTACTGGATGTTTCTCATTCGAACAAACCTATAAAGAACACTTAAATATTCGATTCATTTGTTTTTAAAAAAAAATTATTGAAAAAGATCATGTAATTACAAAAATAAAACATAGCTACACATAATGAACACTATAGACATAAATAAGATGAAGAATTATGCAAAAGAAAAATAATTTCTCTTAAAATATACAAGAGTTCATGAAGTGTCATTAACAATCAAGTTTAAGCCAATTTTCTACTAAATAAATTAATCTTCTATGTTCAAATATATTAAAAGTAAAATAATTAAAATTATATTGCTGTGAGAATAGTTCAAATTTTGAACTCATGATACAAAGAAAACTTGAATACTTACATTGATAACAACTGCAAGTCTTCTAGCAAATTTTAGGAATAAATCATGTGCCTTCAATTTTTCAGCAAGCTGTGTATCCAAATGTAATGATGATATACCTCCAATTGGGTCTATAATAATGATCATAGTATCATTGCTAATGTATTTAAGAAATGAAAAGATATTTTAAAATTAGTTTTAAAACTAACTAACTAAAATTAATTTAGTGATAACCAATCAATACTGCTGCATTTTGAGAGATATGAAAAGATCAGTGAAGGTATCAATGTTTCAAAGATGAAAATCCATTAATTTTGAAATAATAAAAAAAATGTCGTGAGCGCATCACACAACTTTCACTTACCACCCTCTCTTAATAGAATCAAGTATTTTCAGACAAAGGGGAAGTGAAAGTAAAAATTATAGACGCTATATTTATTTACATTTCATTGTGGTTATTTTTATTTGTTTAAATATCCTTAAATATACAAATTTTAAATTTTATATCGCTGAATTATATACAATTAAATATTAAATAATACCAACGATAGCATTTATGAAAACAGCATATGTATATGTACATAAATTGTCGGAGACCGTACTATATTAAGCTAATGTTACGTATAGAAGCCTGTTGTAATCTTTCTGGCGAACTCGGGTGCGATCGTACTCCTTTGGTTCCTGCATTACAACTATTATCCGTTATGATCTCTTATTTCTCCTTTAGTTAATCATCAAATTCTTTCATATTTTATATTTAACTATTTTTTATATCAAAGATAATTGTGAAATGGTTAATTATTTCAAATAAAAACAATTAAAGGTACTTTAGAGGAAGCTAGAATTGGAAATTAGCCATTTAAGCCCTGTTAGGGAACATCAATGAGAATAAAACCTCCTTTATATTAGAAACTGCTTAATAACACATTGATGTAAAGAGTTTAATCAAAATCGTTGGAGCCGTTTTTGAGAAAATCATAAAAATGAATTTAAGCGATTGTATAAAGTACCACTTCCAGTTTGCCGATTTTGACAAAAAGGTTGCTGTAATATCCAAGGCTTATAAAAACCCCAAATATGCAATTTCACTTTCATACAACTTTTTGTTTTTGAGCTAGACTCGTCAGATACATACACACACGCTCGCACACAAACACACACCATTTTGTGGGACTTGGTTATTTGGACTAAGGAGACCTCAAAACATGTATTTCCGTTGAAAACTCAGATTCGAAAATTTTCACGATCGCAATACTGTCCCTTACTATATGTTTCATATATAGGTTAGTGAAAGGAAAAAATTGGTACAGTGCGCTCATCACACAACTTTTACTTACCATAGTAGATATTTTCATATATAGGGAAGTCATAGTAAAAATGACGGCATAACCCATTTAAAACAATTTTACCATGTTTTCCCCACCTATTGAATCTGTTAAATTTATACGTTTACTTCACTTTACATTTCCCTTTACGACAGTGTATAGCCTCAAATAATACTAATGACTGGAAAAAATTGATCTATTAATTTTTTTTTTTGAGTTTTATTGTATTTTATGACACATTGATCACGAAACTCATAGAAAAAATATCTTAACTTTAGTAAATATTGTATATTATTGGGTTTATAATAGTAAATTCTCAACATTTCGAATGAAAACCTTTTTAGAAAGTTATATATAAAAGTTAAACTAACAATATGAAAGCCCTGTACAGATGGGTATCGGGTATCTGTAATGGAAGAGGATCAGCAAAAGTCGGGTGCTCTAGACTGTTTCCGTATAGCTTCCAACCCTTATTTCTCATTTAATTACCAATCAATATTCTTCATTCATTCTATTTAGCGATTTTTCATATTAGTTTACAATGTGAAATGGTTAATTATTTCAAATAAAAAAAATTAATTATGGTATGATGATTGACTGTAGTGAATAATTGAAGAGAGGTTGGTTGGGTGTTTCCGTCATAAATAAACAAATTATTTGCCGATGTTTCGGCCTAAAGTTCAGGCCTTCACCAGGTCTAAGAAAATATCAAATAACAATATGAGAAACTATAAGCTTAGGAAAAATAAAAAATGATATTAATAATAATAATATAAGAAACATATGAAAAAAAACTAATCAGTAAAAGAGAGGAACTTATGAAATAACTAATAACAATATCATAGAGAAACTAATTCAATAATAATAGTAATAGAGAGGAACTTAATGACATAAATGAACGGCATATGAATAATAATGGCAACAAAGTTGGGGACTAATGAAATAAACATAATACAATTAGGTAACAAAAATGAAAATAAAAACTAACTAAAATGAGTTAAAATGTAAGTATTAGATATAGAACGAATGGAGTGACGTAGTGGTAAAATATGATGTCTTAGAATGTTAAAAAGATGTGAAATAGACAAAGAATAAAATGTAAAACAGAGAAAAGGAATATGAAGTTACATAAAGAAAATAAATTCAAATAGAAAAAAAAAATCTATTTATTTTTTACAATTACAATACCCCCTTTTTCTGTAACAACTTTCTCATTTTCCTTTAATTTAATTTTTTTTTCATTAATCTTGAGTTTTACGCTTATTTCTGCCTTACTCCATTAGTATTTAATATTTTTTATTTATGATCTTTGGACTATACTATCTCCAGATACTCTATTTCTATTCAATTACACATTTCTTTAGTAAACACATATAATTTATCTACATATAAAAATATTGTAATTAGTTATTTCATAAAATCCTCTCTTTTATGGTTTTAATTTTTTTTTCATATGCTCCTTACATTATTATTATTAATATTATTTATTTTTCATAAGTTTATATTTTTTCATAGTTATCTGGTCTTTTCTTAGAACTGATGAAGGCCTGAACTTTGGGCCAAAATGTCGGAAAATATAAAAATAAATACTATATAAAAACAACTTTAAAAAAAAAAAAAAAAAAAAATTAAAGGTTCTTTAGAGGAAGCAATATTGAAAAATAGGCCTTTAAACGCTGTTAGAGAACATCAATGAGAATAAGACCTACATTATATTAAAAACTGATTAATTTAACACTGATATAATGAATTTAATCCGGAGCCGTTTTCGAGAAAATTGTAAAAAAGTGAAAAATCAATGACATAAAATCGCATTCCTGGTTGGCCAATTTTGACAAAAAGTTGCTGTAACATCCCAGGCATGTAAAAATCTTAAATACATAATTTCAATAATGTCCGACTTTTTTGAACTAGAACTGTTCACACACACAGACCATTTTGCAGGACTTGGTTATTTGGACTCAGGGGACCTCAAAACATGTATTTCCATTGAAAATTCAGATTCAAAAATTTTTACATTCAATCCAATAAAAAAAAAAAAAATCTAAAATCATGAACATACATTTCACCACCCATGAAGATTATATAACACAGAAGATTTAAGAAACTAATTCTTTCCATTGAAGAAAAACTAACACAAACCTTGTCGGCTGTGGTATACCAACATCCTTGCAAATAACCTTGAGTAAAAGTTATGTAGCAACTTTTTTCACATTTTACAATACTTTGAATAATTCTTCCTAATATAAATTTCATGGGAAAACCAAAACAAATCTTTCATTCAAATAATGAACAACATAATTTATATTAGTAATCGGAAAAAATCAAACACCATGGGCATCGTGAAAAATTGTATTGATTCATACCCAAATTTTAACCATAGAAAAACATCTACTTACCTTTAGCTATATTTTCCCAACGATTATCTTTGGGAGACAAATCATTAATTATATCAAGACTGACTTTGACAAGTGTTGTAGACAGTACTGAGTCAATATGAGTATTTTTGGAAGAGAGAAATTCTTCATTTATAACATTCAGGCATTGTTTCTGTAATGAAAATAATTTCCATTATGATAACTAAAAATTATTTTTGATATGGTTTAATAGTAAATGATTGAATGAAATGCTAGATCCAGTGTAACCTGTTGCTATTTCTGATTCAATTTTAACTGGTCTACATTATTTATCTTTAATATATTCTCTATTCGCATTTCAGTACAACAGCGCATGGTCAAATTTAAATATAATGCTAAAAAAGTTAACATAAAAAGAGAAAATAAGTCTCAGTTTTATGTGAGAACTGTAATTGGTTTATTTTCATAATACAGGTCAAAAAGTTCAAAGAGTTATCTATAGTAATGATGTCTCTAGTTTCGAAATAAATATACAATATAAATTCATCTGGATGCATTTAGATAAGATGAACTGGTACAATTAATAATTACAGCAGAGATCCACTAATCCAGACTAGATGAGACCAAGCCCTGTCTGGATCACCAAGTCCTGATTAACCTAAATTTGTTGTAAAATGTGTTCAATAAAATATTTTCTCATCAGAAATGCACATTTTCTTTCAACTTGATTTGATTTTCAATACTTCATAATCTATAAGGAGATCTAAGTTTTGAGTATAACATAGAAAAAACACTTTCATATTATTGAATTCTCATGTCAAATCTTCTTATTAAACCATTTTCTTACTCACTGCTAGCTGAATACAATGTTTAATGTACTAAACTTTATTAATTTGTACATATTCATTTGAGACTAATAATTTAATTATATTTTGATATGTAGTATAAATAAAAACTGACTAGATAATCACCGACTTGGGCTAAGAGATTACAAGATGGCAAAATTAAAAATAGACAAAACTCACATAACCATAAGTGTAGATCAATAAATGAAAATGGAGAAGAAATACCAGGAAGTTAATACATATAAAGCCACGCTAAACAATATAATGAATATATTTACATATTGGAAATATGTCTGGTAATTCTGCTCTCTGGTAATTAAAGGAATACATTAATATCTTAACACACAATTATTTTTAAATATTAATTAGGGTAGAGGCATATTATTGACATATCACCAATTATTAACACTTGTAACTTAAATTTGATGACATAAACATTTAGATTCATATAGGATTTCAAATTTGGCACCCTTTCAAAGGTTGATTAATGTGTCTTTGAAAGGATGCTAAGTTTGAAATCCTACATGAACCTAAATGCTTATTTTATCAAATTTAAGCTAAAAGAGTCAATAATTGTTAATAGGTGCCTGTACTCTATATAAAATAAATAAAGCTAATAATAATTCATATTAATGCTTAATTTTATTATATTAATTTAAATAAAACTTACATAATTCTTTCGCACATAATAAACGAATGCTATTTTCAGAAAATTGATGTCATTCATTGTAGTTGATGTTACAGGTTCTCTATCTGAGACTGTTGGTGGTATAGCAGAAGTTTCAACAACAGACCTAAAACACAAATGTACAACCAAGATTTATTTAAAAACTAATAATATTATTGGTGATCTTATTACATTATATATTTCAGAAAGTTATTTAAAAAATGAACACAAAATAAATTTTATTCAGCAAATGAAAAAGAGAACTATAAATTCAAAATATCTTAAATATGTATACTGTTGGATTTACATCCACAATTTTTATTGTTATCATTATTTAAATTATTGTAATTTGACCTGTATGAATAACACGGGGAGGAGGGGGGGGGGCCCGGTCTCATCCTGCAATACCCCCTCCCTAAGACGGCGTTATCTATGTCGAAGGGTCAGATGTTAGCTGACGAAGTGAGGAACATCACGGCTTACGGCCTACCTGATAACCAGACCTCAAGAGTTACAGCCCGTCGGCTACAGCTGCTCCAGGACCCTGGACGAATGGCGGATATAGAGAGAGAAGACGCGAGACCTGCTCCCTCATCAAACTGTACGTAGCCATATTACTTATTCACAAGTATTCCTCCACAAAACATTTATTTTTATATATCACAAGAAAAGGGCTCCCGGGCATATGGCATGTCCCGGGCCCCCCAATATTGTACATATACCATTAATTAACAATAACAGACTTAGGTTCAGATAGTTTAGAGTGAATCATTTGATGGATCCTGAGAACTGTTACATGGTATACCCATGTCACAAGCCTCTCTTTTATATAAATTTGCTAATGTTATAAGGATTATTTTATATGTTATCATTCATAATCTGGTATCAAATCAAATGGTATCAGTTGCAACAAGATTTTATATGATAAACTTAAAAGATAAGGCGGTTTAATGATTATAGACAGAATAAAAACCACTAACAGTTCCCATGGAAGTAATGGAAGGCATCTCTCCTTTTCAGCTGGAATTAGAAGCAGAGGATCTAAAAACTGTTTATAGACTAGTTAACTTAAAATCGTGTCCCAGAGTCCAAATTCAAGACAGACACTGGAAATTATTTCAAAGGGTTGAATATGATAGGATAATTGCCATTCCCTCTGACAATTAAATCCAGGAATATCTGGAAACTAGATATTGTGTCAATTAGAATATTGACACAATTAGGAAGAACGGACCAAATAATAGGTGGCTAAGCATGTTGAAGTATTGCCCTCTTAAGCATTTTTTATTTATTTATTTTTTTTTTTTATTGGTCCTTTCCTTCCTTGCATTCTAGACTATATTAGGGTTTTTATGTGTGAGGGGAGAGGGCGGGAAATTAACCCCAGAGTTAAAAGCACTTCTGGCACTAGGACGCGAACTTATAATTATTTTATCATGATAACTTCTGTTAGGCTCAGGAGCTAGCAACTGGAGAAAAGATAGACCAAACGAAGGTTTATCTATACTTCAAGAAAAATATGCTTCAGTATTTTAGTCTGAAGTGCCGCCAATTTTTCAGTGCCTCCACAATGGTGAATAATGGATTGAAGGAGAATAGAATCAATATTTACACAGATAGCTGGGCAGCTACAGAAACACTTAGTAACTACTCTATGAGATCAAAGGTTGTAAAAGATTGCAATCCTAAACAAAATTAATTATAATTCCTAAACAACCTTGCTCTGGATAATGAAATGAATGGACACCAGAGATATTATGGCATCAAAGGCAACGATAAAGCTGAAGAACTAGCCAGTAAAGGTTCTGAAAGCATTTTCATAACCAATGAATTGGTTTGAGGTATATGCTTGAGCTTTGCCAAAAATAGAATCAGAGAAATTTATGGTGCCAAAGCCAAACAAACAACCAGGAACAGTTTCATTCAAGAACGTTCGTGGATGACCCCTGCCTAAGTTGAAGCAATTTCAATTATGCATCCAGCATGCATGAGCTCAAACACAACTATTAATGGTAAAAACTATAGTGTTCTTAAAGAAAATAATTGGAATAAAGCTCTCAAAATTAAGATCCTTCTATCATGTCAGTATTTTTTTTTTTGTGATTACTCCTTTTATTATACACATAAATTTTGGATGTAAATCAGTAGCAATTGGTCATTTGATAAGGTACTCAATATGTGTATGAACTGGGCACAGCTAGTTTTTTTTTAGTTGCTAGGATAGAGTCAACACTTATTCAACAGTTATTTTCAGTATGTATCAGATCAGCTGTGAAAAATATGTAGCTCATTAAAATGGACAAACATGTCATGAAGAACACTTTTCCATACCTCAATTTAAATTTACTCTACCTCGGTACCTTAATTTATATATACTCTTTATATAAAAATTAGTTATTTTATAGACTGTGGTTAAATAAATGATATTCCTCAATACTACCCGTTTCTTTCAAAAAATTCCATTCACTTGAAAAATGATTGATTTAGAGTAGATCAGGAATTTAAAAATTTTATAGTATTTTTAAAATTACCTAATAATGATTCATTTAAAAAATATAAATAATTAATTTCTTACGACACTTTGATAACAAATAAATGTTCAAGCTTTCTTAATTGAATCAAATAAAAATCAACTTGTAAATTAGTGCACGTGATTTAAGGCATGTAAAATAAATCAAAATATTAGGGAAAAGTTCAAGATGGGGATTATTTGACAAGGCAGCTGCCTGAAACCACTTAGAGGAGCAACTCTTTCCCTCCGTTGAATGTAATCGCCAAGTCTATGATCTGATCACCAGGTTCTTCTTCATATTGTTTGCCTATGCATGCATCACATTGGAAAACAATGAGCCAGGATAAACAAAGGCCGAGCAGACTTGTTAAGGCAATAAAATACCTACAAAGTCTTTGAAGAAAATAGAAAATGGTTGGAGGATTAATAGAATTAATAATAAATACAAAGAAAGTAATCATACAAATGTTATAACTAAAGATACATACGTATTTAAAACATCAATGCTTGAAGTATTTACTGGTGTGATAGAAACAAATCCAAATGTGGCAGAGAAAAATATAGGAGTCCGCTTATGCATTATACCTCCAAGTACAATGCCACCTGGTAAATCCAGCGGTTCACCTTCCATTTCTTCTCCTCCTGATACTATAGTACAAAAGTTCGATGTTATTAAACTTAAAAAGCTAATTGAAAGGAAGAAGATATATTTTTAGTAGGAATATATAAATATACATGGTACTGCATAGATTATATGTTTGCTGAAAACAAGGGCAGTTGTTGGCAGAAGAACAAAACGTAGAGAAGAAAGATCACCAGATATATTTTCAAGAAAATTGATATTATTTTTGGCAATGACACATAGCCTTAGAGCAGAGGTAGGAGGATTGATATCATTACCATCCAGTTCAACTAAAACAGATAAAATATAATATTAAAAAATAAAAATAATAAAGGGAATTCAAATAATCACAGTTGAAAGAAAAAATAATTATATATAAAAATATGATTAAAACCAGGAAATAACAGAACAATATCAATCAGTAAACACTCACTAATCCAAAAAATTGGGAAAGGAAGCTAATTTTTCAGATGTTAGGTGAGATTTATAATTTATAAATGTATAAATCCTGAACCTATCCAAAAGCAAATAAAAAGTTTATAAATCTGATTGATATATAAATACCACATTCCCAAAAATGTACACATTATTTCATAAACATAAGTATACACACAATATTCTATAATGTATTCACCTTAACGATAACTAAAAAAAAGATTTTTTTTTCACCTGAATAACTAAATATAATTAAAATTTTAATCCTGAAAAAATGTATTAGCTATTGGACGAAAGTGACCGTCATGCCTGACGAGAGGTTACTAAAACAGTGCTTATTAGACTAATCTAACTTGATTCATTTAAGGTGGATGAAAAATATAACTGGGTATCCCAGGTGAAATCAATCATTAGTCGCACCAATTGGATGCACACAGAACTTCACATGTTTCTCCCTGGTCATATTATCCAAGAAGAATCATATTTCAACCTTCTCACACTGGCTAAAATAGATTAGGTAAATATGGGAAAACCCTATAAACTAGTCCTACATGAATTATTGAATATACTGTATTACGTTAATCAAACAATATATTTTTGCCAGGTTCATAATGTTCCAGTAATTTTTCACTCGTGCTACTCATAATTATGCTATATTCTAAGAAAGCAGCATAGCTCAGTGAGCAATGAACTGAGTAAAGTGCTCAACTCTATTGGGCCTGGATTAGAGTCCAGCTGTATCTAAGGAAGCACTACTTTTATAAAAATAACTTCAAACTGAACTGAAGTTAGCTTTTGCTAATTTATTGATGAAAACTAATATTACGCATTTTGAATATTAAAAAAAAAATTATAAAATACAAAGAAACAACATGAACCATAAAGTGACTTTTAAAAAGAATTAAATTTATAAATATTTCAAGCTAATCTTTCATACAAACCAATAACATAATATCTAGGATCATCAGATGCTGCTAAACAAATGATACAATCAGCTTCAGAAGGTCTTATATCAGTAATTTGTATTTCATTCTCAGGATTATCTCGTATCTAAAAAAATACTAGTAGTTATAATTAAAAAGTACGAGCTTCAATACATGATTAGTGACATTTTAAAGAAAATGTGACAGTAAGTATAAACTTTCCAACACAATAAATCAAATTTAACATAATCAATGAAAAACTAAAGTGATAGAAAAATTATAGTTATACTCAGCCAATCAATTTCAAGCTTACAAGAACAATAATAAACCTAAGAAAAAGCAAAAAAATACAGTAAAATTCAAATATAAGGCCCAGTATTCAATAATGTATTTAACGTCCTACTGATGCCAAAATTGGTGAAATGTTAACCAGTTAGTTTAATGAGTACTTGAATTACCTTCAGTGCTGTAGACATGCCATAATGATGGCTCACAAAATTAAATTGAAACGTTGGTAATAAAAATCTTAAAAACCGACTGTACTGACTATCACCCAGGTAGTTACTTAACTTTGACTTGAGAGACCTTGAGGACTTGTTCATAAAATATAATTTTTTTAATCAAATTAACTTGATTTCTATACCAGAATTATTATTGTAAAGAAATTAAAGAAAAGAAATATCTGATGAAATAGTGGCTTGGCAATAATTATATAATAATAATATTAAAAGGCTTAGCAAAACTCAAATTGCCATGCTGATACAACCATTACCAGCCAACCTTTGTTCACCAGCCTTGTTAAAATCAAAATCCAGAAGGTCAGCCTTGACAAAAATCTCATACCTACATCTTGATTGTCTTTTTTTTTTAGATTTAGATTTCCCGTTGAGCGCCTTAAAGAAGAAAATGTGAGACAGAGATTTGTAACCAGTGTTATTGAGAAGTTCACCAATCACCAGGAAGTACTGACTATCAACTCAAGATGAACAAAGATGAAAAAATCCCTTGCGACCGCAGCGGCAGAAGGCTTGGTAAAGTTCAGAAACCAGCACGAAATGACTGATATGATGAGGAATACAAGAATCAGGTAGACAAAAGGAATGAAGTAAAGAGGAGAATGCTTCAACGGCTTATCAGAGCTGCTGCCCTAGAATTTAAGGAAAAGAGAAAAGAAGATAAAAAGAAATGCCATCAGAAGAAAAGGTTATTTGACAAGATAACATTAGAGGCAACTCAAGAAAACTTTGATGCACAGGACTCTAGTGGTGGTATGCATAATCGTCCCTTATACTCCACTATCCCTTATTGTCCCTAAAAGGCTGGTGGTCAGTGCACCCCTTCAACTGTAGAGGAAATTTAAGGGAGATAGAGATAGATATAGAGGGCCCTTCATCATTCCCAAAACTTGCCTTTTCCACTTTACTCTCCCCACTCACTACAAATTATATTTAACTGATAGAAAATGAAATTATTGTGTTATTATTATTTTTCCTCGCGCGGGCTCATTACCGCGTATGGGGAGCGTCCCATGGGTGGCGGATGTGGGGATGGTCGGTGGAAATTCCTTGGATTTCCTCACGGGTAAGTCTGATGGACTCGCTGACCAACAATGAGAGAGGCCCTCCAGACTTGCTGGAGGGATGGGACCTCCAGACTTACTGGAGGTAGGGGCCCACCAGACTTACTGGAGGGTGTGACGTAGGATTGAACGCCCTACTCACATATCTTTAGTTCACCAAACACCACAAATAGTCATGGATCTCCCTAAGGTAAAACGCTCATTATCCGGACGTAAACTAGTCCCCCGTTCGGGTCTCCGGGTGGGGACTGCTTTAGGGGATTCATGGCACAAGTTGAAATGTAGGGATTTAAATATTGGTATGTGTAAGGAGTTTAAACACCAGGGGGGCTAAAATCCGTCGGGAATGAGGTAAATGGATACAATTTGGATGTTGTGGCTCTGCAAGACGTTCGCTGGCCAGGGGAGGGCTCGATGAGGGAAGGAAAGTACACTATTTGGTACGGAGGAAGCGGGAATTATTGTTTAGGTACCGGGTTCCTAATTAGGAGTAGATTACTATCCGCTTTGAGGGACGTACAGTTCTTTAGTGATAGAATTTCAGTAGCTATATTTCAGGGCCGTTGGTTTAAAATCGCATTAATAACCATACACTGTCAGACAGTGACGATGAAGTCAAAAGTGAATTTTACGATAAACTCGAATGGGTTAATGATAAACTACCGCGAAACTACATAAAAATAATTATAGGTGACGCAAACGCAAAGGTAGGAAGGGAAGAAGTTTATATTCCGACGATTGGTAAAGAAAGTTTGCACGAATATAGTAATGATAATGGGATCTATCTGATAAACTTTGCCATCTCGAAAAACCTGATAATTAAAAGTACGATGTTTAAACATAAAGATATTCATAAATATACTTGGACATCACCGGATTTGCAAAAACACTAAATCAAATCGATCATGTATTGATACAACATAGCTGGCAAAGCTCTATAATTAATGTACGGTCTTATCGCGGAGCAGAATGTGGGTCGGATGATGAATTAGTAATCGCGAAACTTCGACTAAAACTTAATATAAAAAAGAGAAAAGAAAACCGTTTCCATTTTGAGAATTTTAATTTGGAAAAATTATAAAATCCATCAATTAGAACACAATTCGAGCTAGATATTAAGAATAGGTTTGACGCTTTAGAGCTTCCTGACGAGGACCACGAGGATATTGACAAGTTATGGGTAGAGATCAGGGATAATATTAAAGCGGTCTGTAACTCGTGTCTAGGAAAAAAGGAAAATAAGAATAACAAACCGTGGTTTGATGAAGATTGCTTAAACATGTGCGAAAAAAGAAAAGCCGCTAAATTAAAAGCTCTAAATAATCCTAGCGAAGACAATCTGGAATACTTCCGAATCTCAAAGAACGAAACGACAAAATTGCTCAAAAATAAAAAAAGGGAGTATCTTAAAAATAAAATAATTGAAATAGAAACTAATAGAATCGAAAATAACGTAAGAGACATGTACAAAGGTATAAACAGATCACGTAAATATGTAGGGCCCGTAACGTCTGGAATTAGGGATGATAATAACAATATTCTGACCGATCCGGTTGACATATTGAATAAGTTTAAGGACCACTTTGACAATATTTTAAATACGGGAAATTATGATCTGTGTCCTCCTTCTGAGTACCAGAGTGCTGAACCGTTAATAGAAGGACCAAGTAAAGAGGAAGTTGAAGTAGCTATCGGAAAATTAAAATCATATAAAGCAGCGGGAATCGATAATATTCCTACTGAACTAATTAAGGCATGCGGGAAGCTGGAGTTTCTAAAATACATCGGTTGGTTAAAAAGATCTGGGTGAACGAGAAATTACCTGAAGAATGGAAAGAATCTATTCTTATTCCGATTCACAAAAAGGGTCCGAGGACGGATTGTAATAACTATCGAGGAATTTCACTCCTTCCGGTATGTTATAAAATATTCACTTTAATCTTAACCAGTCGAATCACGGAATACGCCGAGGAAATTATCGGAGACTACCAATGCGGATTTAGACGGAATCGTTCGACTATTGATCAAATATTTTCTTTACGGCAAATATTAGAGAAAAAATTGGAGTATAACGGTATTGTTCACCAGCTGTATATAGATTTTAAAAAGGCTTACGATTCTATTGACCGCCAGAAACTGTATAATATTCTAATCGAGCAGGGGATTCCAAAAAAACTAGTAAATCTAGTCAGGATGTGCTTGACGGAGACACTCAATAAAGTTAGAATCGGTAATAATTTGTCCGAAAAATTTGAGGTTCGTTCGGGCTTAAAACAGGGGGATTCTCTTTCGCCTGTCCTGTTCAATTTGGCATTAGAACATGCCATTAGGGAGGTAATGCGAACCGAGAAAGGGTTGGATCTGGGCGGGACAACATCCGTGCTGGGCTATGCTGATGATCTGGTACTGTTAAGCGAAGACGTTGAAACTATAAAACTAAATACGACAACGTTAATGAAAGCCGGTAAAGAACTAGGACTCGAAATAAACGTGGATAAAACAAAATATATGGTTAGCTGCAAAAATGGCGATACTACTGGTGATATCGATATAGATGGTAATATGTTTGAACAGGTAGATAAATTTAGGTATCTAGGTTCTACGATAACTAGAAAAAACGAAATTGAAGAAGAGATTAAGGTTAGACTGAAGGCGGGAAATGCTTGTTATTTTTCTGTGACAAAACTACTTAGTTCGCGCCTCTTGTCCCGAAACTTAAAAATTAGAATCTATAAAACAATTATCTTGCCTACAGTTCTTTATGGATGCGAAACTTGGCCGCTTACATTAAGGGATGAGCAGCGTCTTAAGGTTTTTGAAAATAAAGTATTGCGTAGAATATTCGGACCGAAGAAGGATGAGTTAACCGGAGAGTTCAGACGGTTACACAACGCCGAATTGCGTGAGCTGTATCCGGGTAATATAATTGAGGTAATTTCATCGCGGCGAATCAAATGGGCTTGTAAAGTTGTTGGGCTTAGTAACGAGAGAATTCCTAAAAGGTTAATATTTGCTGTGCCGAATGGTAAGCGTCCGAGGGGTAGACCGAAGCGAAGGTGGGAAGATTGCATTAAAGCCGATCTGAAGGGACTGGGTTTGGACGGCGAACGGTGGAGGGAGGTGTGTAACAAGCGATTGGTGGTGTCGGCATCGAACCTTCGGGTTCGCTAAGCCTTTTATTATTATTATTATTTTTGCTATTATTATACTTCTAAAATTATTATTTTTACTTTCACTTACGTATATATGTAATATATAGTAAGTGTAAGTATTGCGATCGAGAAAATTTTTGAATCTGAGTTTTCGACGGATTTATACGTTTTGAGGTACCCTGAGTCGAAATGACCAAGTCCCGACAAATGGTCTGTGTGTTTGTATGTTAGCAGTCTAGCTCAGAAACGAAAAGTCCTATGAAACTGATATCACGTATTTAAGATAGGTATATGCCTTAAAGCGGAGTAAGTAGAAAAGTAAAGCTTTTAGATATTGAAACCTTATTAGACTTACTATAAAGACAGGTATAAATTTATATAAATTTCTTAGTAAGGAATTACAACTTATTTTTTCTGTTAAAAATAATAAGTCTCAAGCGTATCCAACAATTTAACACAACTTATATTTAACCCTGTGGATAGTTAGACCATTGCCCTCTTAATTAAGGGATGTCTACAAGTTAAAACATACTAGCAAGAACAGGATAATTAATAATTTAATTTAATAATATTTAACTTATAGGAAGTGCAATTTTGGTTATTATTTTACTTCTGAAATATTGTGTTTACTATTTTTTTAAAGCTTGCTTTAATGTACATCAATTTGTGAAGATTCTTAATTTATTTTAATAGACATTTTAGCCCCACTTTGGGATCTATTTTCTTTAATAAACTATTTTACATCAATTTGTTTAATAATATTTCTTGGTATCAAATAGTCAATACCAAGGATTAGAACCAATTAGTAGCTTCGTTGAAACATTTTAGGAAAAAAGTTTAATAAATAAAAGTTCTAAGGAATTTTTTTTAATGAAGTTATACAAAAACACCTAACAAAATACATGTAAAACGTCAAAACATAGTCAATTTCAAAACATAAATTAAATGAATAGGTCAAAAATAAGTAAACATGATTAATATAATTGAATTGATATTTAACAAGGTGTAGTTGAATTGCATGATAATTACATTTTCTATCAGTTAAATATAAGTTGTAGTGAGTAGGGGGGAGGGGGGAGGGAGTAAAGGGGAGTTTTGGGAACGATGAAGGGCCCTCTATGTCCACTAAATATCCCCTATAGTAGACGGGAAGTTGAAGGGGTGGAGTTTGACCACCAGCCTTTTAGGGATGATAAGATAATAGTGGAGGATATAAGGGACGACTATGCATACCACTACAGAAGTTTCTTCAGAGGTGTAAGAGAAGTTAAGGAGGGATATAAACCTAATCTTACTTATGCTAAAGATAAGGAGGGAAATTTTGTGGTTGGCAAGGAAGCAGTTATTGGTAGAAGGGCGGAGCATTTCCGGGAGCTGCTTAATATTGACAAAACAGAAAATGCAGAAAGGCTTAATGAAGTAGAAGCAGACCTTGACTTCCAGATATTAGCTGATGACAATGTTTCTTCCGACAAAGAGGAAATAATGGAAATTGTGCAGGGTCTGAAGAATTATAAGGCGCCAGGCATAGACGGAATCCAGACTGAACTTTTCAAGTAAGGTGAACATGAAGTTTGGGATGAGCTCCATAAACTTATTTATGATTTATGATATATAATGGAAGAAGATGTCCCAGATGAGTGGAAAATGTCGGTCCTATGCCCAATCTATAAGAAGAGCATAGCACTGCTTGGCAAAGCTTACACAATACTATCGTTTACTATCAGTAGGAGACTGATATCATACATGGAGAGGGAAGTAGGCGAATATCAGTGTGGCTTCAGGAAAGGTAGATATTGATCAGATCATTACCACCCGACAGATGCTAGAGAAGTCACTGGAATACAACGTCGACCTAAATCACCTCTACATTGATTTTCAGCAGGCACACAACTCAGTGGATAGGCAGGTTTTGATGAGGGATCTCCTCTCTTTAGGTGTATCTAAGAAGCTCACTCGCTTTGTAAAAATGACCATGGCAGAAACCAGATGCAGAGTGAAACTACAAGGATTGCTGTCTGAGGAGTTCTCTGTGGTTTCGGGGATAATTAAAGGAGACACCAAGGCTACTTCTGTTTTTAACATGAGGTCAAAAATAAGTAACTTGGAGAAGATGGCAAGGGCCATAAAAACCAACCCGGGAGATACAATCTTTGACCGCTTTACACAACACATGGCGTACACAGATGACGTAGAGATTGTGGCAAGAACGCTCCCAGCACTGGCAGGTGCACTAAAGGAATTTGAGACCCCTGCAGCAGCTCGAGGTCTACAATTAAAAGAGCAAAAGATGATGTACATGAAGAGCTCAAGACATGGCCCTCATCAAGAGCAGACAGTAAGGATAGGCCAACACAAGTTCCCAATATGCAGAGAGTTGAAGTACCTGAGATCCCTTATGACACCAGACAATGACATAGGAGCTGATATAGGAGTCTGGATCGCTACGGGAAGCCGATGTTTTTATGTCAGCGACTACTTACATTCCAAAGTCTCTCAAGGAATGCCAGATTGACAATTTATAAAGCCATGATTTCTCAGGTAGTCACATGCGGAAGCGAAACATGGGTTATCAAAGCAAAACATGAGAGGGCTCTACGAGTTTGGGAGTGTAAGATACTCAGGAGGATTGATGGGCCTGTAATTCACATACTTCATATTCATAGTATTTTCACTTCACTTCTTCACAAAGGGGTTTAGAGGTTCCGATACAACCGGGAGTCGGGACAACTCTAAAGGGACACAGATCTCGTTAGTGTCATTAAGGCACATATGATGGTTGGGTCATGTGGAAAGGATGGCAGCGGACCGAGTGCCGAGGAAAATATTATATGGGCGACCTAGAGCAAGGAGAGGTAGGCCACCGTTGGCTGGAGGAAATTGAGGCGGATTTGAGGCAGCTTGGTGTCAGGCTGTGGAGAGAATCGTACCGAGACGAGTGGCGACGTATTGTTGTTGGCCAAGGTCCCATACGGACTATAGCACCGACGAGTACAGTACATTACTACATAGCTATAAAGATATATTAAAGAAATCAGACAACCAGATAAACTACATCATTGTTCCCTAGTAATACAACATTAGTATACTTCTGGCTAGAGGTTCATAAAATTATATATTTTAAACAGCAAATTATAAATTTCAATGTTGAATCTACTAAAAAAAGTTTCACATCAGTTTATGTAGAATACTTTTAATTAATGCTTAAGAAAACTATTTACCTGGATACACATATTGTCAAAATACTTAACAATTGTTGTTATTGACTCAAATAAGTTTCATAATATCACCGAGTTAGATAATAGTTTTAATATATTTATTGCTTTATTAAATAAAGAAAAAACTGAAAATCTCACCTGGTAGGGGAATACTTGACGGATCATATGTTCGATATTAGTTTCATATATCAAAGCTGAGACTAAGTTTATTATTTCTACTGTCCATGACTGCAATGTAAAACCAGCCAAAAGGAAAATGTGCCAATAAGTCTCAACCTTTTGGCATGTCAGAACTTTTACACTTTGCTGAAGAAAAAAAAAATTACATATTTAACTATTATTTAAAAAATTTAATACATCATTTTTATCTAAAAGAGTAAGAATACTTTTTGCAATTTAAATAAGAATCTTGGATGTAAGATCAGATAAAGAATTAATTGAGGATCAGATCAGGTGGTTAGGACATTTCTTAAGAATTAGAAGAATTTGTGAAAAGAGTTAAATACAAGGAAGAAATCAAAGGAGTCAAAGAGGCTTGTAAGAACAGATATATAACTGGAGGAAGACAAGAGATTGGTACAGGAAAGGGACAACTGGATCAAACTTTACAATCAGGCTTCTTAAATTGGAAGGAAAGAGAAATAAGCACAAATTGAGAAGAAAACAACAATTATAAATATTTCTGTCCGATTCCTTATGGTTTATAATTTCATTAAAAGAGCATTATGACCATTTTTGAGCCTCCAATAGGACTTGCTACATATAAGTTTTTATGCATTCACACACACACACACACACACACACACACACACATACATATATATATATATATATATATATATATATATATATATATATATATATATATATATATTTGTTTTTGCTTTGAATAATGTGATGATTGAGTAATGAGGTTTTTTTTTAAATTATATGCGATAAACACACACACACATATATCCTTCACCTCCTCTGTAAAAAACTTAGGAATTACCATTGATCAAAACCTATCATGGAAACCCCATATTGCTCAAATCTCCAGAAGGTCTATTGGTACTCTTAAATTATTTCATCGTTCTCGTCAGCATCTCCCACAACCTATCCGCAGGCTCCTCGTTTCCTCATTGATTTTCCCCTACTTTGACTATGGCTGTGTGGTATACGGTGGCCTCTCGTTGGAGCTTGAGGACAGACTGAAGAGAATCATGAACTGTTTTTTAAGATTCGTCTTCGGCACTTCGAGATGGTCTCATGTGTCCCACCTATATGCCGAGTCAAAGTGGCTCTTCCCCTCTTCCCGCCGCCTATACTTCCTTGGAAATTTCTTATACCAAACGATCAACTCCCAGCACCCTTCATATGTCTGTTGTCTCCTCCAGCCTAAACCCTTAGTCCACTCAATAAAAACGAGATATCGTGTTTCTGACCTCTATATTCCATTCCACAGGACAAAAACCTATGAACGTTCCTTCTTAGCCCGCTCCGTCTCCTATTGGAATTCTTTGCCACATAACATCCGTCATGCCTCTTCCCAGTCAACTTTCAAATACCTCCTTTTCCAATATCTCCTTACATCCCAAACAGAAGATTTGCCACCATAAATTTCATTTTATGAACTGAATTTGCGTGAAGTAAATAGTGGTGACTACTGTTTAAGTCTTAACATAAAACAGCAATGATCTTTGTCACCTAGTTTGACTATTATTTTTACTATTTATTTATTTTTCTCTTCTCCTCAGGTTGTGCTTTTTTTTTTCGGGTATATATGTTCATATTTTATATCTTTGTCTTTATGTGTGCCAATATGAGAATGTACGTATAAATAGTTCCTTTTAGTTTTTTTTTTTTTTCCATTAAACCACAAGTATCGTAAGACTTTATTTTATCTTAGTGTCTGCATATTATTATATAAACCACTGTAGATATTATTTCATTTTGTATTAAGTTAGTTTTCTATTAGATAGCCTATTGTTTATAAATTGTGTAGTTATGTATATATAAATATGTAATTTCTCTTCTTTTTTTTTTTTCATCACAATTAAGTAATTTTGAGAAGATTTTATGTTCATTTGTATATATATTTTATTTTTTACTGGTTACATACTTTTTAAATAATGTATATAATATTAAAATTTTTAGAAGTTAGTTTTTGGCCAGATTTGTACTTTACTTTGTATTAACTCATCATTGTTATCCTAAAGGGACTTAGTCCCAGAATATTAAAGAATCCCAGAAATAATCCCAGAAAGTTTAATTTTCTATTATATTCTATATATAGGGGTTGGGGATGGTAGTCGTGTGGGCTAAGACGCTTACAATGGTTATTAAAGTTAAGCAACGTCGAGCATGGTCAGCACTTGGATGGGTGGTTACTACCTGATTTGGGTGACCATCTACCAGGGAAAGCCATGCTGCGCGAGATCCCTCCCGGGTACGTGGCCCGTCACTCTACTGGAGGTAACTCACAACGATCGGGCGTAGGACTGATGACCCTAACCCCATGTACTTAAATCGAGAATTGGGATGTGGTCTAGGATATATATATATATATATATATATATATATATATATATATATATATATATATATATGTATGTATATGTGTGTATGTATATATATGTGTATCACATATAATTTAAAAAAAAACTACTCAATCATCACATTATTCAAAACAAAAACAAACCAACATGTTTCCAAAAATATTAAGTTAATTAATTACATTTACAAGTGTTTTGGTTTTTTTTTTATTAACCTGCCTAATTTAGGAGTTCGTTATTTTGTTACATTCCTATTATATTTCCTAAAAAATGTAGCACAAACAAATCAATAATTGCTTACTGTTATACCACTGACAGTCTGAAGTTCTGTGTAATAATTTTATATTATCAACCAAACATTCTGTCAATTATTATTTGTTAATTATAACAAATGATAAATTTGTTTATAATTTTTCTATAATAATATTTATAGATAAATAAGATAAATTTATGCAAAACAAATGAAATATAGAATAAGTAGATAAAAGTTATAGTTTCAAAGAAACAGGTAGCAAAAGAAAAAATTTTCTGGTAGCATACTTTAGTGCATGCCCTAGTTGCAAAAATACCAGCAGCATAGCTTTTTGTTTTGAATAATAAACATTAATAATCAACCATTCCACTTCTGGGCTCCTCGAATCACCGTGGCTGTTTCAAAATCCATTATTTGTCATTCATGGCTTTTCTACAAAACTACTGGTCCAATTTTTTGAGACTTGGCAGAAATGTCACGGGTCATCTAACAATGATCCTCAGAACTTGACATCAATATCTGCCATTTTGTTTCAAAACAGCAGTATTTGAAGGAGTTTTTTTTTTTTATTTATTTATGACATTTACAACTGTATTACATAAATACATCAAGTAAATTTGGACATAATTGATATAATGACATGAATACACTTGCTGAGTAACTACCCAATGGTAGCACTCTAATGAAGGAGTAAAATAAAATTTGTCACTAAACCACTTATTTAAATATAAAATTGTTGTTAATTGACCCTTTCTATTGAATAATAACACATTTCTCATATTTAAAAAAAAAAAAATTTATTTGTTTGACTGAACTATTTATTTAACATAAAAATCACCAACACAGAGATTTAGAAAGCCTAACCTGTAAAGTTAAAAGAAATATCTGAATTTCCACTTCCAGTGGTCAAAAAGTTTTAGGATTGATCTTAATATTTTCAGGAAATACTCTCATTCATAATTTATTTTATTTATGAATTGCCTTTTTTGACCCTAAAACGGTCATAATACCCTCAAAACTGAGCTAGGGGTTGAAAAATATTGAGTTGATAATTCTACCAAATGATCAAATCATAATTGTTTAAGATAATAAAGCATATACATACCGTCTCCAATCTCTGAGGTTGTGAGCCAAAAAGCAAAGAGCTGACAGTCTTACCAATTGAATTAAGCCATCCATAAGCTGGAGTAATTCGTTTAACTTCAACTGATGGTGAATCATTACCAAATTTAGGAGTTATTAGAATCATGGAGCCTGACGTTGTTACTGCTAAGCAACCAAGAGGAGGAACGTAATGAACAGCACAAACCTATAAGAAAGTATATATATATATATATATATATATATATATATATATATATATATACACACAGGAAGTCCCGTAAGTATAGAGAAATATTTATAAGAATGAAAGTGGACCTCAAGAGCTACAAAAAATTCTTATAAACAGTGGGAAAATTTTCAGTTTTTAGCTTAGTTTAGCAGCTCAAAAGTCCCCTTTAAATGGTTTAAACCATGGCAAACTCTGCTTTATTGGAAGTAAATTTTGTCTAGTAGTTTACAGTGAAGCAATTTTTAATTACTTAAATTAAACATTTCTGAAAAAAAAACAAAAAAAAAAAAAAAAACCATTACACTTAAAAAAACACAAAACTTGGATATCCAACTTTTCTCCTGAAAATTGGCCAATTGTTTATATGAACTTTTTTGTAGCTCTTGAGGTCTGCTATCACTCTTATAAATATTTCCCCCTACTTATGGGACACCCTGTATATGTATATATGTGTGTGTATATATGTATATATTGGCTTTTAAGAAATGTTATGGTCAGCACTACTATATTTCATATTACAAAGTTGTTATCATTCAAGAAATACATGTTTTAAAATAACATACATGTATTCATCGGAAACATCCTTTTGAGAACTGTACTCCCCTCAACTCAATTATCCTCTGTTTAATAAAAAGTAATAATTTTTTATGATTGAGTGCACACAGGAAACAGCCAGTGTCTGTGAACCACCGCAGTTTTTATTTCAACAAAAGCCCTCTAATTTTCTGTTAATAAATTATATAATAAAAAAATCTGGTGTGTCCACTCACACGACTTTCCTACCTATTTCAGAAATTTTTTTATATTTTACATATGTCCATTACACAAGAAACTAGAATTAGATTTATTTTCCTAAAAATTTATCAAAGAAAATATTTGAGTACAATTTATTTGATAAACTAAAGCAAAGTAAACCGGCTTGAGGTAGGTCATTGTACAAATTTCAATACTCTTTAATATTGCTGATCAAAAACTTTTTGCCATAGCCTAATTTTGTCAAACAATAATTTCTGTAAAAAGTAGAAGAAATAGTGAAGCTTGTGTGATGCGGGCAACAGATTTTCTTATTTTGACTTACTTGTCTTTTTTCCCTCATTTACCCTATTCTGACACCAGGATATGAACCCGTAATCTTACATGGGAAATTGAATAGCTATAACTTCATTAATAGTTGTCCGAAATGAATGTTTTTATATAGGTTTGTAGGAAATTTCATCACTTTTGAAAAATAACATGCTAAACGGTGTTTAGCTAAAAAAAGAAGCAATAAAATCAGTTCACTAGTTCCCAAGAAAATCTTAGCACAGATAGACCAATGGCTAAAAATGTGTTTTTTGGACTCAGGGGGCTCTGAAACGTATAGATCCGCCGAAAACCGCATATCGGAAATTTGACCAGATCGCAATACTTTCTTTACCTGGTATAGATAGGAAAGTAAAAATAATTATCTTCTTATTTTTATTTTTTCTAGAAAGCCGACCTTTATATATCTTTTCATAGTCAAGGCAAAAATACTTCCAATTTCCTTCAAATCCCTTACAACAATAGAACAGTAAACTATAAAACAGATACAAAACACTTAGGTACACACTATTCGGACATATTATCCAATATTGAAATTCAAACAACAATAGACAAAAAAAACACAACAGCCATAATAAGAAATAAGAGGACAGGTACAAAGTACAGTAATGAAACTAAATAGCCAGATGTTGGTTAGTCTAACAATGAATAAGAAAGGATGTGTAATACCAAAAAAAAAATAGAATGAATGTGACAAATATTTGAATTTTTGACAAATGGTACCACATCAAAAAAGCAAGGTAAATAATTGTACAATAAATGAAGTAGATTGGTACTGTAAAAATAGTTTATTTAAAATGTGCATAGTTACAGTGAATATAAGGATTGCTCTGATGATGGGAAAATTGTCCCGAAACGTTAGAGATAATAAATGTGATTAAAGGGATTTGAAGGAAATTGGAAGTATTTTTGCCTTAACTACGAAAAAACATGTAAAAATAATTTTTCCAGGCTGGAATTTTAAACTTGTTCATTCACTTAAAGAAACAATTACTTTGCACACAATGCTATGCCACTCCTTAAAAATAATATAATATGTTTAATAACTTCAAAAATTTTATACACATATATAAATTTTTAAAGAAGTACCTCCTCTCCTCCTAAATGAGCATCTACATCAATCCATGTTGTATGGTGTCCAAGAACTACCCAATATCTCACGATTCCTTCTGGAGAAACTGCTATGCAAGAGGGAGACTAAAATATAAAAAAAAAAAGTTGCAGTGCTAGTATCCCTTAAAATATTTATTTATTAAGTTAATGCTATAGTCTATAAAGATGAAGTCTGAGAAATAAATTAATTATTGCAGATGAGATGAGAATTAAAAGCAGCAATGGTTGTGGATGCAATTTTTAGGTAAAATAAGAGAAAGGTCATAAAAATCAGAAGTTTCTTACATGCAGAATGATAGCTAAAGAAGTACTGAGGTATGGATATTATTCCTGATAATAATATAATGTATAATAATTAATTTTAGAGTCTCTAACTTTTGAATAATTTTATTTTAATTATTTTAACTGGTGAAATATTACAATACTTATGACAAACAGTTAATTACAGCTAACCTATTAATTGAAAAGAAATCATCAATGAAAACCTCTGATTTAACATAAAAGTTAAGATGGTTCAAATTTAAAAATGTAAGAATTTATTAATTATTATTAAATAACAATTTTCTTTAATTATATTCTATGGCAAGTAAACAAACTACAAAATAACCTGTAGTTGGTATTCTAGATAATACCATAAATTACTAACTATATTGTAGTTAGCATTCAGTTACTTTTGATTTGGTGCTAATAAAATGTAAGAATTTGTTTATTAAATAATGCACGAATTAAGGTAACTTACTTTTTGATTGGGTCCTGAGAAAATATATACAAGATTTGCATTATGGGCTAAGTCACTAGACGGTAACAGCATATCCCTGGCCATGACCGGCAAAGTTGTATCAGTAAATGAGGGGATATGCCAAACCAGCAATCTTCGTCCAAAAACATACCATGCCCAAGCAATATCTGGATTTAAATTGACTGAAGCATTATCTTTGGCACCTGAAAAATTAGTTATTTTAAAAAAAATTTAATGGTATAAGAATATGAAAATCCAAAACATAAGAAAATATGTTGAAATACAACATACTTTTGCCATAATATGGCAATCATTATGATGATAATATTAGGGAATGAACCTAGAACAGTGTTTTAAACTAAATGGGGTGCCATTAAATAAGATAATATTCAACATTGATCACAGCATACTATTCTGCAACTAAGTTCTCAACAAACTACAATCATCATTATCATTGAAGATAGAACAGAAGTTAAAGCATTGAAACATTGATTTATTAGTCAGCTTCAGCAAACCGAAATAAATGAATCTTTGCAATAGCCAAGCTGTTTAAAGGAAATCAGTTCACTGAGACAAAAGTGTTTTTGATAATAATCCAAGACCAGGTCAAAACAAAAAATACTTCAATTTTTCATTACAGCCAATACTAGCAATAAGCCCAGCAACATAATACAGAAAACAAGTGCAGGATCTGTGCTACCTTATACAAATCTCTACAAAGGTGCAGGAACTAAATTGTACTGAAATCAGCCACTTACAACGAAAATGAATGGGACACTCAGAACTGGTTTTATGTTACACCGACATCTGCTTTATAACAGGGTGGAACTGCTGCTCATACTGCTTGGTTTCCAGAAATGGTGACATTTTTTCGCCTTAGCTCATCCCCTACAACTTCTTCATATGGGTGCACATGAAGCTTAAAGTGTACAATAACATACCACACACCATTCCACATTTAAAAGAAGCTATGAAACATCAAATTGCAGCAATACTAGTTAAAATATTGGAGGATGTAATGAACTTAAATGACTGTCCACAGGAATAAATCACTGTGAAAAGATAGAATTTATTGGACATTCTTTTTTATAATTAATTTTCTTCTGTATTACAACAAAACTTTCGTTCATCGGGTACAAATTGTAATTATTTTATTCAAATTATGGTTTATTTAAAGAGCCAAATGCCATTCAGGTGGTTAAACTAGGTCATTTGAGGAGGCTAGGGCATGTGAAGCACATGAGTTAAGAAGAGTTGCACAAGCTTTTGAAAGAGCAACTCTAAGGAACGAGAAGACTGAAGCATAGATAGGGAGACAAAGTTGCAGCAGACGCTTGTAACATACTTGGAGTGCACAACTGGATGGCAGTTACACGGAACCGTGACAATTAAGGACATGACAGCCGAGTGTATTGGAGCGTTGCCCATTCTAGCATCCTCGTGCTAAGCGATGCTGGTTCGAATCCGACCTGGGAGGGATAGACTTTTATTTCATGGCAGACCCACAGAATGGAACTTGACCATCCCACTGTGGTTAGAATAAGTTTGGTTGTACCTCTAGAACAAACCTTCTCCACCCTCCACCCCCTACCGTATGCCAGAAATGGTAGAGGGTTATCCGATAAGAAAAAAAAAGAAGTCACGATTGGCGGAATTTGCTGGAGCAGGCCTCGACCCTGCAACAGGTAGTTACACTGAGATAATAATAAGGTTCAAAAGTGTCACTTCTGATTGAAATATAGGGTAAATATCATATAGATCATGCCATAAAAAGAACCTCGAGCATATATCAGAAGAAGGCAATCAATCTCCAGTAAAATTGCAACCTCATCTGAAAAAGACCTGATGAAAGATTGAATGTCTCTTGAGTAAGCATAGAGAAGCCACCCAGGAAAATAGTTTAACCAACAGCCACTAATCAGAATTCTATTTTCAGTGTGATCAATATGATCTTGACCTGACTACCAAATAAACGTGACACTTGTGAACTAGATCCAAAAGTATAATTAGAAAAATATAAAATATAAAAAAATACGTTGACATACCAGGTGTATAATTTAATGATTCTGCAACTAAAACAGGCATTTGAGACCCATACAACTCAACAACATGATGGTATGTACTGTATAAGACATTTTTTGATACTCCAGGTCTTCTGCAATATAAGATGAGGATTAATTACTTATCACTAAAAAATCAATCGTAAAATGAAGTACTAATTCAAAATAAACATATTTATTAAAAATCCCTCTAATCCCTAACTAGATAGTCATATTTCAACCATTAATCACGAAAGAAATAAAACATATTTCAAGAATAATTAACAATAAACCATTACTTACACTCTTGAATGAATAGCCCGCTGGGCTACTGGCATGGTCTGTGTTGAGGAGGATGTCATTTTGGACTATCTGGGAAAAAAATTATAATTAAGATAATAAAATAACTGGGTAAATCAAAAGCCTACGATTTGTTGCATTAAATGTAATAAATTTTGTGACAGATAACATTATCTGTTAAAGTAACATAGCACAATAAAATAAATAAAAAGAAACTATTATTATATGGGTTAACTACAATAATTACAACTTAAAAGCAAATTAGACTATCACTATCACAATCAAACAAAAACCATACTGTGAATCTTAACTTTATCAATCCTTACTTAAAAACAGACTTTCAAAATTTTCTAAATAACAATCATAACTGTTCAAACTGAACCGCTCAAATTGTTGGTGATAACCTTCATTGAACGGCCAATATCAAAGAGGTGAGAGTTTGTTAAAAAGCAAAGAAGTAGGCGAAATTTATTTAATAAGTTTATTTATTGGTTTTCTAGCTGCAACTTCTTATTGCGTACAATGTTCCAATTAACACCATTTACAACAAATACAACAAAAAATCGACAATTAACGCCTAAAATTTGTTTGAAATATCAATTAAACCTCTTTATAAAATCATTTTTTTATTCGCATTACATTCTTGTACACCAATAAGATTAGCTGGTCCTATATGATTGATTAATCAATTTGTATTATCAAAATGAAATAGTAATTAAAGTGTAAACAAATATGCCTTTATCTTTCAGAGATTTTTTCTAAATGCATAATGTGTTTGTTCCTATTTTTTAAAATAATTAACCCAAAATTTGAATTTTGTACAATTAGTTCATTTATAAATGTTCACTTATAGTTTCTTATTAATAAGGAGAATGTATAGGATAGCACATGTATTCATATTCATGTGAATTCGACATCTTTAGGAACCAGAATCAGTGAAGTTCCTGATATTTCAATTTTTAAAGAATTAAGTTAACTACCTAATATTCAGAATAATGTGTCAAATAATGATTGGCCAGTACAGTACTCTAGCAAGGTAAAAGGCTACAGTAGGATTAACGATCCCTTGGTATCCTGAGTTTAGTACACAGCACACTTTCACACAGCAAAACATTACACTATACATATACTCTGATGATAAGGACACTAATAGCACACACCTCAGGATCACCTCTGCTGAGAAGACTCAATGCCAGGAGTATAGCTGGTAACCAGTTGTCCTGAGGTAACGGGGCCTCCTTTGCTGGGCCAATCACCTGTAGAGAAGTAACAGTGATTCAAAGCAATTCTGGAACCAGCCTTGGATATGGACAGTCTTTACGGAACCGACCTGGCATGTTAAAGGAAATCAGATTCGGTAACTGGAATATACGGTCCCTCAATGGCAAAGAGGTTAAGATAGTGGAGGAGATAGAAACCTACAAAATCGATACCCTTGGAGTAAGTGAAATCAAAAGGAAAGAGTCAGCAGAAATGCAGCTAGACAAGGAATATACACTTCTATATTCAGGAGTACCACCGGGCAACCGAGCAAAGTGGGGAGTTGGATTGATTTTTGAGGATGATGTTTTTCAGAAAGTTCAGGATTGGGAAATGGTAAACTCAAGAATAATATCTGCTAATGTCATTCTCTCATTGGGAAAAGTAACACTAATCCAAGTCTATCGCCAACTGAGGACTCTAGTGTGATGGAAGTAGAACAATTTTACAGTGACAATTGAAAACGTCGAGGTAGAAATGTTCTTATTATTGGATATCTCAATGTAAGGACTGGATGTGTCCACAGAAGAACCCATAGATGTATGGGCCCACATGGAGTGGAAAGAACGATGAGCAACAGTGGAAGGCGACTAATGGAATTTTGCATAGACAATGATCTTGCAATAGGCAACTCCTTTTATCCGCATAAAGTGGTTCATAAGATAACCTGTTGATAATACACGCCTGTTCTAACGTCCCTGAAGAGTTTGGAGTGAGCAATGGGGTTCGGTAAGGTTATGCCCTCGCCTGCATATTATACAACTTGGCAGAGGAGGAAGCTGTAAGAGAGTCCGGTATTCAGACCAGCGACATAATCTTAAATCGCCTGACTCAATTTATAGGTTTTGCTGATGATATTATAGAAAGGTCTGAACGGGCTCTCAGAGAAGTGTGTAATGTGATCGACTACTTTCTATATACCAAGTAAATCAGAAGATTCTTCATAGACATCAAAGTCATCCGAGGTGCGGAAAATCGGGAGTGATCACATGCTGTCGATAGCAGATAGCAGAATTCCTTCTACGAAAAAGCCTCAGCCAAAAGCTTATGATAGGATTGAAATAAAACAGCTGCAGGATATTCGGAAACGAATGGATTATGAGAACGAGCTAAGGAATCGGCTACATGAACTAAACTTTGATGAAGGATTAGATGAAGACTCTAGTGTGATGGAAGTAGAACAATTTTACAGTGACAATTGAAAACGTCGAGGTAGAAATGTTCTTATTATTGGATATCTCAATGTAAGGACTGGATGTGTCCACAGAAGAACCCATAGATGTATGGGCCCACATGGAGTGGAAAGAACGATGAGCAACAGTGGAAGGCGACTAATGGAATTTTGCATAGACAATGATCTTGCCATAGGCAACTCCTTTTATCCGCATAAAGTGGTTCATAAGATAACCTGTTGATAATACACGCCTGTTCTAACGTCCCTGAAGAGTTTGGAGTGAGCAATGGGGTTCGGTAAGGTTATGCCCTCGCCTGCATATTATACAACTTGGCAGAGGAGGAAGCTGTAAGAGAGTCCTGTATTCAGACCAGCGACATAATCTTAAATCGCCTGACTCAATTTATAGGTTTTGCTGATGATATTATAGAAAGGTCTGAACGGGCTCTCAGAGAAGTGTGTAATGTGATCGACTACTTTCTATATACCAAGTAAATCAGAAGATTCTTCATAGACATCAAAGTCATCCGAGGTGCGGAAAATCGGGAGTGATCACATGCTGTCGATAGCAGATAGCAGAATTCCTTCTACGAAAAAGCCTCAGCCAAAAGCTTATGATAGGATTGAAATAAAACAGCTGCAGGATATTCGGAAACGAATGGATTATGAGAACGAGCTAAGGAATCGGCTACATGAACTAAACTTTGATGAAGGATTAGATGAACTATGTCTGAAGCTGAAAGCAGCCATATAGAATTTTGCGAATAAAGTATGCATTATGAAGAAAGTGCCAGTCTAAAGGAAACGTTCGACCAAAGCCCGCAGAACATCGTCATCAAGGGAGGAAGTCCTTCCACGACCTTCTTTGTCTTCAAGTCTGAAGTCTCCCTCCCAGATTTTTTTTAAACACCGTTTGCACTCATTGATGCATCCCTCGCCCCAGACTTGATTGATATTTCTGGCCGTCTGACCCCCATTCCGCACTAATTTAAACTCGTAAAACAATATTATACGAAAATCACGCGTTGACATCTTAGTAAAGACTGAATTATATCTAAGCAGTGAAATGTTACAGAGGTAAAAAAAAATTATCGTTTGGAAGAGGATTAATAATTGTTGACATTCATACAAATGAATAATCCAGTAAACGTAAACAATTGGTTATATAGAGAGGCATTTAAAAAAAAACTCAAAATCCTGCATTATTTTCCGGACAACGCAATATTATAAGTTTTTTCAATTTTCGTACATGGAGTGCTTTCTTGAGAAAATTTAAAAATAAAAAGGTTATAGAGAAAAGAAAATTGTTTTGGTGACTAACTCAAAAAGTATGCACTCCATCGGTTTTCAACGGGTCTTTGCGACACAACAAAGCCCTCACATTTTAGCCTAATTTTTTTTTAAAGTTTATCAAATTTCCTACAAAACTGTAACAAAAAATCATTCAAATCGGGACCAGTTATAGCAAAGTTACAGTGTAATATAATGTAATATGAATATTAATATAAATATTGATTCTATAGCACAGATGTCTCCAAACTACAGCAAGCACTTTCGATCCGGTCCACGAATGTAGTATTCTATTCTTTTTGTACAATTTTGTTATTCTAAAGGCACTTAGTTCCAGAAAAAAGTTTTTTTTTCTATCTATCTATCTATCTCTATATTATTCTATAGAAGATATTCCTGAGAAGATTTTATTTTTATCTTTTAGTGTTAATATAGTTTTCTTTAAATTACTGTATATATTTTATTAAGTTAGCCTATCGTCTATGTTTTAAAATACAAAATCTTTTCTCGGTATTATTTCTTTTCTGAAGGTTTGCTTTCTCTCTCTCTCTCTCTCTCTCTCTCTCTCTCTCTCTATATATATATATATATATATATATATATATATATATATATATATATATATATATATATATATATATATAATCATTTCCAAGTCAATTTCAAACTTTTCCAAGTCAAATTTCAACCTTTTCCAATTTAAATTAAACTTTTTCTATGTCAAATTCAACCTTTTCCATTTCCAATTCAACCTTTTTTTCTTTATTTAATTTTTTGATGTATGGGTCAGTTATCGTATGCGAACTTTTTGAAAATAACCTTCATTTTAAGATTACACTACTGCGTTTCAATTTATTTAAGTTTTTCGTATTTATTCGATATATGGGTGTATTCTTATGTTTCCGGGACCGGAAATTATTAAAATGACCTCCATTTTAAGATGACACCACTGCGTTTCAATTTATATAAGTTTTTCGAATTTATTCGATATATGGGTGTATTCTTATGTTTCCGGGACCGGAAATTATTAAAATTACCTCCATTTTAAGATTAGGCCTCTGCGTTTCGACTTATTTAAGTTTTTCGGATTTAGTCGATATAAGATTATATTCTTATGTTTCCGGAACCGCAGATTTTGAAAATGGCCTCTATTTTAAGATTACGCCTCTGCGTTTCGACTTATTTAAGTTTTTCGGATTTAGTCGATATAAGATTATATTCTTATGTTTCCGGAATCGCAGATTTTGAAAATGGCCTCTATTTTAAGATTAGGCTCCATTTTTTGGTTAATTTAGTCTCAGTTTCATAATATTTATTTATTCATACTCGAAAACATACTGATGAAACTTTGTATTGAAAAAATCAACAAAAAAAAAATGTTTGATTAATCGAGATGCAGTGGTGTAATCTTGAAATAGAGATTAAATACTAGATAAATTTAAATATGATATCGGATTAATTTCAAATACTAGGTCTGCGATAACATATAAGTAGATCCTTATACCGAATAAAGCTATAAAACTTAAATAAACCAAAACACAGTAGCATGATCTTAAAATGGACATAATTTTCAAAAACTATGTCTCCGATATTTATTTTTATATTTTTCTAAAGCTATGCCTTCGATAATATAGGAAGTGGCCTATATTTCGAAAATTATATATATATATAT